TCTGGAAAAAAGTTTCTCCAACAATTGTCTCAAGTTGACTATATAAAAATATTTAAGTATTATTTTTAATATAAAAATACATTGTAAAATGTACTTTAAATCTGAAAATAATTGTAATAATGTAAAATTTAATCTTGTATTTAAGAAAAATTAAATTAATTTTTTCCTTCTCAATTAAGAAAATTCGTCTCTTGAAAATAAACCAATTGATAACAGATTAGTTTCCAATAGCCACCGCCCCTTTTAACAGAAGAACTAGTGTTGGTAGAGAAAACTACAGTGGCTTATGAATGTTGTGGTGAACTAGATAGTTGCTTCAATAGGCTTGATTTGAATTTTATTAAACATTTTTGCTAATAAGGGGAGGTCATGGATGTGGGAGGTCACTGATTTAAATGAAATTTTTTTCGGTGATAATAGGTCGAAAAATCATAGACCCATGTCCGAGGGTTCTTGCCAATAAGAGTCGAGAAAAATATATTTTATAATATTTCTAATAAAATATATGTTATTAATATTTTGTCTAAACCGGTCCTTTTTTAAATAGAAACAAATTTGATATTCATTTTTTGTACCTCATAGAAGAAACTCCTAAAATAAGAATTTTCTTAGCAATTGAAACATTAAAATTTCCCTAGGCTGGACCCTTCGAAATTTTTTTTGACTTCACCTAACCACATGAAAATTATTAAGGACTTAGGACTTTGTATACACAGAATGGTATGAACCCAACATTATATGCAAATTAGAACCAGAGATATTAAATAAAAATGTTTGGAAAGTTTTTCGAACTTAAAAATCTAAAAATTTTTGATGTGGTTTGGAAGAGTAGTAATTCACCTTTCCAATGATTATACTAATGTTGAACGCATTGGCAAGAACCCTTGGTCATTGGTCTGATATGTTTCGATCTAATATCACAAAAAAAAGTTTCATTGAAATCCGTGAACCCATATTCATAATCTCCCTCATAGGAAAAAAAAACTATATCTATGTGTAATATATTCAGAAAAGGGCTGGATAAAATTCTTCAGAAAATTTTAGAAAAGCAATCAGAAAACCTATAGTTATGTTGTCAATCAGATCTCTTAAAATAAAAACTGAATCGCAAAACATTTTTGACATTCAAAGACAGCTGAATAAAATTGTGTAGAAAGGACAGCACTGAAATGATAAGGCTTAAATAAGTAACCACTAAAAACTGTTAATCTTTATAATGCAGAAACTAAATCAATAATGCAAAGATAAAAAAAAAGCTTTTAGGTCATATGAATTGACTACACCATAAGATTTCTTGGTAAAAACTAATGATTGTTGGTGGCATCTCACCCCACACAAAACATTTGCTTGCTCTTCTTTTGGGAATAGGACTTTTTCATTATTGAGAACCTTTTTGAGGCTTTGATATTCCATCTGAGAAGTATTCTCTTTAACAGCTATGTCATTACCAATCATACTGTTTTTTTCCCCCATGATTAAATAGTATGTAAGGTACAAAATAAAAGGATTATATTATCAGTTAGGGATCAATTAATAAAAATTGAAAAAAAAATTATAAATCTTTATTTGGACACTGTTTCATAGGTATTTGAAATGTACCAATAAAAACTTCAACAAATCTACCTAAATTATTTCATTGTAATACTTCAAGACTAGTATAAAGTTAAATAATAAATAAAATTTTAAGGCTGCATTTATTTACAAAATATATAATAACTATATAAGTAGTGAAACTTTTACTTGACACATATCTCATACAGATAACTCACTTATTAAACAATTTCCTCAATGTAAAAGTGTATAAAATGATATAAGTTTAATGGTTATGTATTCCTGCAGGCATTTAAAAAAAAAAATGTATATATAAAACAGAAATTGTAAACTTAGATAAGCAATTATTATTTTCTATACAGAGAGAAGTAAGAAAATTAATAAAACTTCATATCAATGACGATGGTAAGTTCCTTAATGGATTGATGGCTTAAATTCATAGAGCCAAGTACTTAGTTAAGAAGGATCAGTCCAACTGTATCACAATTGAAGAAAATTTATTTTTTTATACTTTTCATGAGATGGAATTCAGTCTTACGTAATTCAACAACCCTGATATTCTCAACTTATATTCAAATTAACATACTTATTATGCAATTCTTCAAAATATTAAACCAAAGAGATTAAAGGCATCTCTTAAGTAATGACTGATTTGAGAAACTATATTATAAGAATTCGAAAAATAATAACTCTGCAAAATTTCAAATATCAATTTCAAGCACAACTACTTTGCTAAAAGAGAAGTTTGTAGTAATAAAATAAACAAACCTTATATTAATGTGTGCCGACATTTTGACCAAAATATTAGGCCTTCAAGAAGGTGGTTCATATAATTTAATCACAAGTCAATAAAGATCATGCATGCAATTCAATGATGAGTTGATATTTCTTTTGTGATCTAGTAATGTTAAAAATGGTATAATGCAAGTAGAAAGTTTGTACTGTCTTCTTTAAGTTTACTATTGATGGTTGAGGAATGAGATTTTTTGGTTCAGGAACTAAAAATGTTGAACAATTTGTTGAATTTATTAAAAGATAATGATTATAATTAGGAGTTGGGGAGTTGATATATAGTAATTTAGTTAAGGGAAATGTTAATTGACATTTGAGAAAGAAAATTGGTTGTTTTAAATTATTGGCTAGGCAATTATGGATGTAGCAAAAGTTATTTAAATGGATTTACGATTATGGAAAGAGGTTTTGAAGAATGAAAAGAATAAAGAAAACTGAGTTGGAATAGATACAATTCGAGTTGGATGAATTACAGTAGAAGATATTAGAAAGTGACGAGAACAATATTGAGTTGAGAAGGCCATTGTTGAAGAGATCTAAATCAGTTCTGAAATCTGGTTCTGCGACATGCTATCAAGTCGTAGGCCCAGTATAAGCACCTCCACAAGTTGTCATAATGAAGGCCAAAAACCTCAACCGAAATGTCAGCAGAAATTAAAATAGGTTTTTTTCCCATAATTATAATATGTGAACAGGATTTTCCATTATAATATTATTTACTTTCCATTTTGCACAAGTTAAATCAAGATTTTCAATTTCAAATCATCTTTAAAGATCTATTATTACATAATACCTTAATATTTAAAACTGCTAGTAATTCATCATCTTCATTGTCACTTTATGGATAAATTTTGAATTTTTCATTAATTATATCATTATCAGACCAACCTTTGAATTATCAGATCAATGGGTTCTCATCACACAGCGACATCATATTTATTACAGTATAATTACCTTAACATAAGAAGATAGAAAAAAGGAACATCGAAACTACAACAGAAAGACAAAAAAAGAAAACTATAAAAACACGATGTTGTATATGAATAACATTAATATTTCAGAGAAAAATAGCACAACATTAATGTTATCCAACAATTTTGAATACAGTAAAACTTCTCCAAAGGAAACTTACAGAAAATGAAATTTATTCTAATATAAGAGAGATGTTTGTTTTAGAGGAACTGGAATGAAAAAATAATAACAGGTTACAATTGTATTTCCTGAACAATATCAATGATAGTATTCATTCATTTAAATATTTTTTCTGTTTTTAAATTTATAAAGCCATAAAATTTAAATGCATTTTAAATAAAATATTTTTTATAACAAGTACCCAAATGAATTGCCATATTGCTAATCAATTATATTTGAGAATTAATAACGAAATATTAAAACTATGATCCATAAAAGGAAACCGAATTCCCAGTATGCATAATAGAACTAAGCTATTATAAATAAAATTGAAGTCCTCAACATATGTGCCTTACTGCTTTCTTGCTGTCCATTATGAAAAACGTTTCAATCAGAAATGTTATATCATGCCCACCCACATCCGTTATTCACAATACTATAAATTGATTGAAAATTTCAGGAGGTCTGTAAATTGGTTTTAATAGAGAAGTATCCACTGTATTTCATTTAATCAATGACCTAAGAGTTTCTTGGCTAGTTGAAAAGTAGAACAGAGAATATGAGAAAAAAAAAAAATGAATTTTACAAAATGCATTAATTAATTTTTTACTGTATATGAGTCGACAATTCATCCAGGAAATAAAAAAGAAGTATTTTGAATCATCTGAGCTCAACACAATCATCTTCATTTCCCCTAAAGAAGACTAACAATATAGAATGAAATTAGGATACATATAAACATTAAAATATTATTTATTGTATATTTCAAGTTTGATTGCAGCCCAACCAATCAAAATAAGAAAATGATTCAACATAGAGAAAAAAATATACAGACCACAGGTGCAATATACTCTCAAATTGTTTAAATGGACCCACCTAACCCAGAATTCATTTCCAAAGAAAGCGAATATTATAAATATTTAATATTATTTCAAATACAATAAATAAATTTAAAAACTGCCCAATTCAATTTCTAACTAAAATGAGTTAGGTAACTGGATGAGATTGAATGTTAGTTATGAATATGTCAAATATAGGCTTCCAAGATGTTTTAAGGTAATGTGCTATAAGCTATAAAAAGGTCATTAACAATGAAATTAGGTATTTTTTTTTTTTAAGCCTCTTATAAAGTAATGAGAATTGAGTTCGGTGGTTTTAGAATTCATATAATGATATAATAGTATTTATATACTAAATTCTCACAGCCTCCTCACAACATTTGGGACTTTGGAACAACAATAAGTTGTTCACTTATATAGGCTAAAGTTCCGAGTGACTTTTCTTCTGTTTTTTAGGAGAGCAATAACATGCTTCTTTTTGAGAATCTAAATAAAATTTACACCCCATTGTAGCAGTTCCAGTATAAAGTAATTTAGCAGAAGCTTTACAACCTGAAAAATAAAGAAAACAGAAATTAAAAACTGAAAAGTATATTAGGTGGGTCTTTTAACACTGACATTAAAACCCTCACCCTCATCTCCTGGCCCGGGAAAACCCAGTATAGCCTAAAGGGCGAGGAAGGGGTGGATAAAAACAAATAAAAAAGTTAATTCTAAGATGAGATAAGGAAAGAGAAATCTATCTAATATTATATCTCTATTTTGAATACTGAGCAGCCATAATCTATGGATTTAGACCAATTTTTCACTTTCCTTAAACACGAGTTGTTCTGAAATTGTGGGATGAGCACTACTATACAGGCCCCTAATGGAGCTATGGATGGTTGCCACTGCACAAAACCTCCTTCGTAGCAATTTGATGAGCAATATACATAAATGTGTGAAAGATCACATCACATGACCAAATTTACAATTTCAATGCCAGCTACTGAAAAAATAAAATAAACATATATATAAAACTAATAATCACCTTTTAAATTTATCTCATTCTCTTTAACAGTTTCACATATTTTGTACAAACATTTCTTAAATGACAGATCACAACTATCCTTATCAATGTTACATGTTCCATAACACTGATCATGCTCATTACAGCACTTGGTCATTTCAGGATAAGGCAGACTGGCATCGATCTAGAAACATTGAGCATAAATAAAGATGGGATATGAAATGATTAATAATTCAAACATATTAATTTCCAGTACTTCCATTCCCATGGGTCCACATCCATTAGAAATTGGTTTGTGATATTTATTTTTCACAGCCTTTCCACCTATGCACATACAAAACTATTAATTGGTGACAGTTAAAATTTCAAAAACCACTGTATAAACATAAAGACTTCACCTCCTGGGCAAGTCCAAACACAATCTTCCTCTAAAGATTCATTTAAAGTATCATGTACTGTTTTCAGTTGTTTAACAACTTCAACCACTTTGACTGCAAAATCTCCAAAGAAACTCTCTGCTGACAAAACTGCATCTCTGAGATTTGCTAGGACATTTCTTCCATAACCAGACCAGGCATAACCGGCAAAAGTCAATAAATATATGATAATTTTGGTTTTAGAGATATCCATAAATAATATGTCAATGGGGCACTTTTATTTTGCAAAAATGTAAAATTGCAGGACATCAAATCATAATTAAAAATAGTAGGAAGGTATTTTTAAGGTTTACAGAAATATGGCGGTAAATCGTTATTTTTTAAATACTTACTACTATTTATTAAAAATAATAGAAGGAAAACTTTCATTTGGTCTTCAGAATTTAACAGGAATTTTCAAATAAAAGACCATTACCAATATAACCTGATGTAAACAAAGATGAGTTGGTGCTTTCGTATTGGATAACACTTGAAGCTATGTTTACTTAAGCAAAGTGTATATAGAAAAACTAATCACCTAGGATCATATTTAAGTTATTTTAAGAAGAAAACAAAACATCATTAATTTATTTATGGCCAACTAACTTTATTATTTTATGAAATCTAATGTTTGTGTTACCGTTCTTTTTTTTATATATATAGGACGAATTTATAGTCTAATTAATTACAGGTAAGGCCACTCTGAAGTAGTCACAAGTTGTGATCAATTTGGAAATGACGTTCCTTGGTAGTGTGAAGGGTATGCGTACGCCACTACTGTCTATCAATTTTTTTACTTGTAGAATAATAGAGAATAGAATAGCTCGATAAGCAAGGCACTATGCTCCTACCCCCTGGGGACTGGGTCCTAGTCCGGCTGTGGCAAATAAATATCAGTTATAGTTATATTTACATAGCTTTACCTTTACTATAGCGAGTACTCTTAACTGGCGACAACTTGGCTGTGGAGTGTGATCATACCCAAATCAACTACTTGTATCAACCAAATCAACCGCTGACTTAAAAATCGTATTTCTTTTTAAGATACTGTACTCAAAACACAGCTTATTTTAAGTATTAAACTCTTATTATACATGATGGTTGTGAGAATAATAACGGAGGGAATTAGACTGGCCTCTGCTCTATATGGCGCCAAAGTGTCTATTTTCAACTTTTGGAGAACTTGTCTTGGGCTTAGTGTAATCTTCTTCCACTGTAGAATGGATAGTTATCCCGAGTCATTAGCGGATGGAATGTTATCTCTGACGAAATGTATCATTTCCCTCAGTGTATCATAGGTAATCTTGTTCGGCACTCTCCGGACTTTGCTACAACAGTGGCACAAGGATCCTTTCCATTTGCACATGAAAGCCGTGAGTAGTTGAGAGACCAAATAGTCCGGAAGGACCAATATTATCTTCCAATCTTGACCCTAGGTAGGGAACACTTACTAAGTAGTCTTTCTACTTTCTGCTGGTCGCTAGCAACCACTAGTTCCATTTTGCAACGACATTCTCCCGGATTCGAGTCAATATATTCAGATGGGTACTCCAATCCCGTTCTTTACACTTTAAAGATTTGATAATCACGATAAAATGTAGATCCTGAGTTAAACCTCCCTTCAGTGCTTTGACAACCTTACGAGGCTCTGTCCAGTTGATCCAAAGCAAAGCCAGCCGCTATATCGATGTCAATTCGCTCCATAGTTCTAGAATGTTAACACATTCCTCAGAAAATTAAAAAAAAATTCTTGGATACTCATTGCCTTAACCTTAACTTCTCAAAATATTTTAAGCGAGATGCAACCTTAAACTTTCTTCCAAGTTGTAAAAATCTGGTCCGCGCAACACACAACTTTCACTTACCGCTCAACTTTGAATAGAAATTATTTCCTGGCCATTATAAAAGTTTTGTATAGCATTTTTAACTGTCATTGTCTTAATTAGGTGAATTTTAAATACTTTTTTCAAACTTAAAAATATGTTTAGTTAGTTAGTTAGTAAATTTTATTTAATTTCCTTGAAAACATGTGATTTACGTTAAATATTATTAGTTTTCAAAAACTTTCTATATTAGATATTGTTTTTTCTAAAATTCTCCATTTTCCAACGATATATTTATTATACGTATACCTTCTGACTAGTATTTCCGGAGATTCATTTTCGATCTGGATAAGCATTTTTATTTATTTTTTCTCCTTTATTCAATTACCAAATTCTTTCAAAAGTTATATTTAGTATTTTTTCGTAACTCTGAATAATGTTAGATGATTATTTTTTTTAAATAAACCATATTAAAAGTACTTTAAAGGAAGACATATGTGAACATTGGACACTTAAGCTCTGTAAATTGACATCAATGGGGATAAGACCTGATTAATATTAAAAACCGTTTAATTATACAATGATACACCGTGTTTAATCAAAATCGTTAGAGCTGTTTGGGAAAATTGTAAAAATGTGTTTCTTGATGAGCACTGATGATATAAAGTTCAACTTCCGGTTAGCCGATTTTAAGGAAAAAGTTGCTCTCACATCTAAGGCATACACATATCTTAAATACGTATCAGTTTCGTAAGACTTTTCGTTTTTGAGCTAGACTGCTAACCATTTTATACAAAACCATACAAACCATTTTTGGAGACTTGATTATTTGGACTCCTATATATATTACATATATACGTAAGAGAAAGTAATAAGATATAGTCCATGATACAGACCTCTTTTTATCAAATTATTAACATCCGGTTGAAACTTCGTGAATCTCATCGTAACCTACAAATATTATATTTACGAAAACTCTTGGGATTGGGACGTTTTCAATCTGGAGGTCGGCAAATTTTTTCTATTTAATTAGCTACTAATAACTCCTAAATACCCATTTGCTTTTCATTTGGATCGTTAGATGATTGAATCACAAAATCGAGAAAAACGTGGTAATCCTACAAAAATATTGGTCCGTTTGGCCCTTATAACCTCGTTATTTTGCGAGTGCGGGTCACGCCAAACGGCTCAACATTTCCTTTATTCTCGATTTCATTTTCAAATTATCTTACGATTTAGGTGAAAAGCAAATGGACAATTACGCATCTAATTAAATAGACAAAGTTTGTCGATCTTCACATTGAAAACGCTCCAATTCCGAATAAAATATTTTCGTAAATAAAATAGTTGTAGGTTACAATGAGATAAATATATTTACGAAGTTTCAGGCGAATATTAATAATTTGATAAAAAGGAGACTGTATCACGGACTATTAATCTCATAGATGACAACTACATTTGAGCATCTCCTTTTTTCCTTGTAGTTTTTTTTTCTTTTGTTCACTACCTGGTCATTTTTTGGCACATAGGGAGAGGCCTAATCTAGCGGTATAACAAAACTTTTGTAATCAGAGTTAAAATATCAAAATTCGATCTCTGGGTCCACTAAAAAATAAATTTCAACCAATCCAAGCCAGATTTGAATCAGCGCCGCTAGATTCGAGAATGATAAAGCAGGAAACGTGACTTATTGTATATCTAAAGTAATGAAGGGAGCTGCCTCAATCCTGTCCCTCACATCAACCCATCAAAAGCTATCGTTAATCTGGAAAAAAAAATTGTTTTCATCTGTTTTTTGCTGTATTTGACTAGCTAACTATTGATTGCTTCCTTCTATGATTAAGTAATGGGGAAGAAAGTTTTTAATAATTAAATTTTCTTCAAGAATATATATTATTTTACTAGTCTATCTTCAATGGTTCAAAAGTAAGATCAATTATAAATTTATAAGTCAATTTCCAAAAAAAATAATTATTATATTGCTTTAGCTCTCTAACATCTTTATCACAACCTAGATACTCCTACACACAACTATATATATATATATATTAAAAAATGTTTTTTTTTGCATATTCTAGGAATTGACTTATAAAATTATAATTGTTATAACTTTGGAATCATTGAAGATAAACTGGTAAAATGGTATATATTCTTGAAGAAAATTTATTTATTAAAAACTGTCTTCCCCATGGCTAGTCCTAGAAGAAAGCAATCAAGAGTTAGCTAGTCAAATACAATAAAAAACATAATGTAAACTTTTTTTTCTGCAAATTACCGATAGTTGAGGATGGATATCTCAGAAACTAAACAAGGTAGCGAAAAATTGTATATAACCAATCATATTGAAAATTTTATCAGCTTAAATTTTGTATAGAAATTCTTTGTCACTGTGATGGATAGTTTTTCTGGTATAAGCTAAAACCCAAAAACCTTACTAGTCCAAACAATGTCACAAAGTCAAAAATGGTGCCCCGCTTTTTTCTTTTATAATTATTTATTGAATGGAATGGGGCTTCTTATTTATAGAATAAACGTGTTGCTTACAAAAAAAAAAAGAAGAAGCTTTTTATTTCTTTTAGGAAAGCATCAGAAACGTGGGTGATTATAAAAAAAAATTGTTACCAATGCAGATGAAATCTGGAGGAGTTATAGTCCCATTATTAGAATCAGGCAGTGGGTATAGCATGAAGTCCCCCGAAGATTGATGGCGCATCTCTTCTCTCCTAAGGTATTTTATCACTCACCTCTTCTTTAAAACAGTGCAAGGGAAAGATATCCTATTATATCATATATTATTATGCTTTAGGTTTTTTTTTTTGGGGCGTGGGGGGGTCCTCCCCTTTAAGGCTATAAGGGATTTTCCCTGGCCATTGTCTCATAGATCAGGTTGCCCAGCAGTGAAGCTGTGCACACACTTTAGCCAGTTCAGCTACCCAGCACACTTATGATTTAGGGAGTTTGTTTCATGATTTATCTTTTATTTTTTTAAAAAACTGTTCATCCTGAAAATTCATAATCACATCGAAATGTGCCGCCCCCCTCCCCTCAAACATTAGATGGTGTACCTTCACTGTCAAACCCCCTTCTTGGTAACTCTTTGAATAGAAGACTTGGAGGAAGGTATGCCTGCCAGAGGACCTTGGGAAGATGCCAAGACTGGAATAAATTAACTTTTAGAAACAAATAATAAATAATGTAAAAACTGTAGTTATCAGTAATTAATTCAAGAAATAAATACATATTATTCCTAATGATACAAAATGTAAAACTCCTTCAACATGAAATTTTTTCTGCTTTCCCCACTATCATAAACAAAATTGAAAAGCAAATTAATAAAACTTGGGAAATTCAATTGATTTAAAAATTCTGTTATTTTCTCAGGCGAGCTTTAACAAAAAAATCTGGTGTGGTGCACACATCACACAACTTTCACTTACCTCCTTACTTAAAAAGTAAATGTTTCATGTTCAGAACATCTAAATCATTAGCACCCCTAGAAATATTTAGTTGATAGGAACTGAATCATAGACGGTACAACAAATTATTTAAAACAATTAATTAGTAGGTTTTTTCTTATCAAATATACATGCGTTTTTTTTTTTTTTTTATAAATAATCTCATTTTACAACTCCATATTTTAATTATAATATGTAATTAAGTACCATAAATTCTTTTTGGTCTAAGAGTGTCAGATATTCATTTGTATTTCATTATGACTATATTTTTTGTTTTAATTCTTATATTGTTGTAATCTATACAATTAAATATCAGCATTTATAAAAACCATACATGTATAAGAAAATAATAATATAATCAGAACCCATTTACCAAGTACCATCTCTTATTTCTCCTTTAGTTTAGCATCAATGTTTTTCATTGTTTATATTTAGCCATTTTTATTCATCTAAAAAAAGGTAGGGCAATATTTCAATTTCTTATATGTCTAGGATATCCTTTTTTTTTTTTTAAATCAATTTATTTAAAACACTATTAATCAACATATTACTGTCAAGTAGTTTTTCAAAATATTGTTCTTTATATATATATATTCTTTTTTAATAAGAGAGGGGAGAGAGAAAGCAGCTGCTGTGTCCTGCAGAAAAAATGATCAACTAAATCATTATTTACATTATCTATCTTCCATTTTTGATAACATTTAAACAATGAATTTTGTAGTTGTGGTAGACTACAGTCCATGGGTACTGATAGAAATGCAGATAATGCATCATCTTCATAGTTTTGTTTTCTCCCTATACCAATTTTTCAGTACCAGTTGATTAGCAAAAACTGTATTTAAAATACAGTATGTGCAGTGTTTCAACTGCCTCCTGCATTGCTACATCCTACGCCCTGAAGACGATAACATTTAACATTTTGCCGACGTTTCGACCCACTTTGCAGGTTGGAACGTTGGCAGAATTAAATAATTAACCACATATTTAAACAACAGGAAATTAGCTTTTTCTTGATTGAAACTACTTAACTCATTAGTATATGATATAATAGGCAGGTTTTCTTTTACTAACACAGCATCAAACCAGAGCATTATTTTTTATCTCTCTCAATTGAAACATAGCACTAAATAAAATACCAACTTACTAGATGAACCATCAAAAGGAAAATGAATTAAGCTAATAACACAGATTTATTATCACTTACAAATTTTAAATATTTTAAGAAAATTGTGTTAAAATATATTTAAACTTCAAGTGGTAAATTAAACGATCAATGCAGTTTGTATTAACTAGCTTTCAGTAATCAACTGTTCAATTTCATAAGTATAAGCAACAATAATAAATTCTATGATTTGGCCGAACACATTTAAATGTGATAAATCAGATTGAAATATCATTTTATTGTGTGTATAAATAAGTTAAGATGACGCCCCTGAAGAAACAAGCATTCTTTCTAACTTTCCTGCCTCATATAAAGCCTTCACATCAGAGCCACCTCCAACAAATTCACCATTCACGAATACACGTGGCACCTGAAATAGCATAAATATGTAATTAAAAACGATGATAATAATTAGAACTGTTAATCTTTATTATTATTAACAACCAGGAATATAAATCTAAATATTAATCAGATTAGAGAAAAATAACAAAAATGTATCTCTTAAATAAATCAAGTATTTACAAACTGAAACTCTTGAAGAAAAATACATATTAACAATTTGGCCTTTATTGCTTAACCTGATTTTGAATAAAATTTTAGTGTTTTCTATCTTGTGGATCACTAATAATGCTTGTACTGGTACTGGAGGAGGAACTAGTACAGCAAGTTGGTTACGTGTTCCTTTTTGCCAACCGCTGATGACTACCTTGAGGTTGCTACCATGTAGTTACCAGATTGAGAATGTTAAGATTTATTTCCCAGAGCTGTCGAGAAATAAAAATTATCCAACCTAGGTGGGAATCGAACCCATATAGTTCAGAACCGGCCAATCAGGAACCTATTCCCCAAAGTGCTCGGCCATCTTATCCTCACTACTAGGAAACAGCCATGGTTATCACTCTATGTTGTAGGTAAATAACCATTAAATATTTATAAAATTAATTAATGTGCTTTCTTATACAGACTAATTGAATAACGCTTGTTTCAAACATAGGGAAAACAACTAAGTTTTGTATTTATGAAGGTACATGTTGGTATTAAAAAGTCAGATTAGTTTAGAAAATAGGTAGAAAGTTTGTTTATTGTTTAATTGATATCTACCTGAGGAAATTGAATATAATTTTAAAATCAGTTGAACAACTGATGTTCTCTATTATTTGAACATTTTCTAATTATTCTTACCATTAGCATATTATTCTTATTAACATCTCTTTATTATTTCTGACTTTCATTTATCAAAACAGTGGGAGTGGGAGAAAAAAGTAGATACCACCAAAAGGCACTTCTTTATTACTAACTCAATTAATTCACATAAAGATTTTCAACGATCTAACTCAATCTGGAATGTATTTAGAAGAGTGCAAATGCTTAAAGACTAGAAAAATAGCAAGCTGGAGAAGTTTAGACATTGAAAAACCATTCTTTTACAAGTTCTGGCTTGTTGTATAATACCATTGAAAATAAAGAGGTCTTTTTTACTTTATTAAGGCAAATCACTTTTCAATAAAAACATATAATTTCGGTTTAAATTGTATTTAACTGTTACTGATAGAGTTATTTATTTACCAAAATGTGTATGTTCCGTCATGTTTAGACACCAGAAAAAAATAAAATTATCTGCTGCATTCTAAAGTGAAGAAAATACACTTTATTGCTCAAGAAGCAGGGATAATACATAACATGTACCTCTTTACTTCTAAATGAGGTAATAACTACGTAAGGATAGTTATTAAACAAGTCTGTAAACAGTAAAAAGAAATCACACGTTTTTATTGAAAAGCGAATTGTGGTAAAAAAGTAAAAAATATTTAATTACTCACAGTTCTGGCACCGGTTATTTCTCCAAGGACATCTTGAATAGTGTCTCCGTCATCTCTTTTGTCAAGTTCAATAGCCGTAAAGGCATGCTGAAGTTTTTCGAAAACCTTAAAAAAAAAGAAAATTAAGTTGAAGGTATTTTAAAACAAAAAAGAATTAATTGATTTACAGGTGAATATACAGAGAAGAAGGGGGCTTTTGGGCTGAAGCCTCTTCCAAAATGGTAAAATATAACCAACTGTCTTATGAAAAAATTATTTCTTAAAGTATTATTGTTCATATTTAATAGGATATCAATAACAACTAAAACACTATTTCATATAGGTGGTCAGTTTCTTTGTTTTCATGTATACAAAAAATTTCGGATTGAAGCTCCCCTCCCTTCAAAATTAAATCCTGGATCCACAAGTGACATAATGCACAAATAAAAGATTTGAAATGCATAATTAATTGATATAATTTTTGAGGAAAACAAGATGTTTTTATTTATTTTATAATTTTCATTATTATAAAATTTAAAATACCTAAAACATGCTAAACTAACAAATTTCAACATTTCAGAATGCCATAAAAATTAATTTAGTAAAAAATATATGTTTCTTAATAACTTATCAACCCAGACTTCATATATAGGTATGTAATTAACCAAAATGGGAAGGGCAAGTTCCTTCACTCAGCGCTAATTCCATTCAATCGATTGAATCAAGCACTGATGGAAAGCAATTCATGCTGAGTTTAGGAACCAACTGCTGGATTTTAATGGAAAGTCACAAGATATACAAAAATAAAAAATATATAAGGAAATATTTACCAATTGAATAGTTGAATTTGAAGACAGAAAGAAATATGGATAAAAAGAGAACTAAATACAAATATGTAGAGTAAATTGAAAAATAACTACAGTAAGATAATGATGTTACATCCAGCAGATCCATTGACTTCAAAAGCTGATGGAACTGCTGATCTATTGGTGATAAAAATTGATGAATAAAGTAATGCAATGAATTCCATTTATGGATTCATTAATGAGTTTAGGAATGGCCTGATAGATTATTGAAAACCACCAATAAGCTTAGTGCTGAGTATAGGAACTTGCCAAATATAAGAAAAATTAGGATAGCATGGTTGTGAATGTTAAAGATTTAATGAGTCATCAGTCTAAATTGGAATTTTTAGCAGATTATTTTTCATATCACTACTGTTAGTTAATGCAAAAGGCGACATTTTGTAGTCTGCAACTGCAATAAATAGTCTACTACTGTGGAAAATAAGAGGAGAGAAATAAAATATTAAATTAAACTAATAAATCATAAAAAATTTATCTTCTGCAAAAAAACTCAATTTTTACACAGGACCTTTTGCACTGACAGTAGTGATTTATTTTAATTTTAAGTGCTACTCAATCATATATTAGTCAATACTAAAAATAAAAATATCTTTTGTTTCATAATTTCCAAAACACAAAGATTTTTATTAATCTATTGTAAAACATGAAAGCAATATTTTTTTTTAAGTTCACTTAAAGGTCCTTAGGAATCAATTTTTTTTTTTTTTTCTTACTCTCCAAAATGTTTATTGAAACAATTACATATATAGTATACAATAATACAATATATACATGTAATAAATTCCTTCCACTGCCCGAGGGCATTTTAAGGATTGGGGACAGCTAAGGGTTACATATGTGGCAGAAGGCCTTGTGACTTTCATTGAACAGGGAAGGACCGTTCAGCTAATTTTTTATTATTTACAATATATAAAAATTAATGAGTTTGGACCGCAGAGACCAGACCTCATCCTTCGGCGAGGTGTAATGGTGAGCATAGTTGCCTTCCTTAGGAATCAAGAAATTAGCAAAAGATTATAAGCTGTTTACTTCACAACTCTTTCAGCGAGAACATAAATATATTTAAGCGAGAATCTTAATATATTTAATCAATTTTATTAATTTCAGTAGCTTAAATAAAAACATAAGAAATACATAACAATTTAAACAATCATACCTCTTTAGCCATTTTACAATATGGACAGTAAGTCTTGGAGAATATGACAACTGAATCTTTATTAATGGCTTCTTTGACAAATTTGGCAGTTTCTCCACTCATGTTGAAAGTTCTTGTGCTAGGACCTAAACCCATTGAATAGTAGTTATAACAAAGCTGAAAGGAAATACACTAAATAAACTGGAAATATTACATCAAAATGATTAATAATACACAATGATATAAGAAAGAGAAAAATGGGAATGTGCCATTGGATCAGAATTGTAATTGAAGAAAGCAATTTCTTTATACCAATAACTAAAATATCTGAAAATTGTAGACCACAACAAATTTTTGTGGAAGTAAAAATATTAACTAATGCACTACCTCTTAAATTAAATACAAAATAAGGGGGAAAAGAGTGATTATTTGTTTAATGTATTTACATTTGTAGTGATAAAGAATGAAAAAAAAAAAAGTTGAATTTTTCCTTTTTGAATATTAATTTATAAATTGTGTGTTGAAAATTTATGGATTATTTAAGAGAAAACCGCTATTATGTTTTATATCAGGATTATTTTCAATGTTCTTCAATCAGAAAATACCAGATTAAGGTGAGTTTAGACACTTCACAAACTATGGAACAAATATATAAATGGTAGTTTCAATACGATATTTTTGTATCTTGTTTTTGATATATTCACTAGCGGATCCAGGATTTAATTTTGTGGGGGGAGCTTCAGCCCGAAAACTTTTTTTTTCATTAAAATAACGATAATTACTTTGGAAAAACAGAAAGAAACTAACTACCTATATGAAATGGTGTTTAAGTTATTTCTTAACTACTTTTAAATGTAATTACACGAACAATAATACTTTAAAAGGTATTTTTAAAATTTTTTTCCCATAAAACATGGTTATATTATTCCATTTTGGGGGGGGGGGGGGAGAGCTTCAGCCCGAAAGCTCCCCCCCCCCCCACGTAGATCCGCCCGTGGATATATTCAATCTGCTGTCAGTAACAAGATGAATAAAATAACTAGTTCCCTTTAGTAATAATGCCGCTGTTAATAAGTTAGATAATTGTGTTTTCCATAGTTCGTGAAAGATAAAAAAAAAACCTTTAAAAGAAACAGGAGTCTCCATTAAGTATTTCACAATTTTAATTTGATCTAAAACGGCTTTTTAGGATTAAACTCCTTAAGGAATAAATATTATACTGCTTATTCTGTTGACCAAACAATCAAAATGCAGAAATGAATATTTGATGGTTAACCTGAAAATAAAATTTTGTAATCTAGGACGTGTTATCTCGGTCTCCCTACTAGTTCCGGTCCCAATATACTCGACTATTTTTTATGTTAAACAGAAAAAAACTATACTTAATTAAACATAGAAAAAACTATACTTAATTATAAGGCTAACTTCAATATTATTCTAAGAACATTTGAATTTAATATGTTTTACAACATCGTGTTTACGATGAACGACTTTTTTTTATTTTTAGTTTTGGAGGACTAATGTTTTCTCTGATTTACTCGAAATTAATCTTATCATTAAAACGAATTAAAGTTAGCGTCCGAAAAGGCTCAGGGTACATTCTTATCTACGACTTCGTAAATACATTCGTATGAACATACTTTTAACTGGCGTAAAATCCTAAACAAGTTCCGAGATTTTTTCTATTAAATATAATGACGTGTTCGACGAATATAATACAGTTTTCGTAGAAGACTAACAGAAGTGGGGATAATAGCAAGATGACTACGATGTTTACCAACTTCCTTAATTATCTTGTTTAAATATTATGGAATGCTAAATATTTACCCACTAATACCAAAAGTGATTAATGCAGAACGTTTTTTAATATAAAATTGCAGATAAAGGCTTATCAGATTTAATGAGATTAATAATTTATGAAGTAATAAAAGTTAATAAATAAAAAAGAAACACATAAATCAATTAAAACCTACCAATACAATTTATGTGCTACCAATTTGGTGAATTGTACACTATAAAAAACAAGATTCTGTTATAATTATTGAGTGATTGTAGCAGGATAACATTATTAGTGCAATTGAAGTTAAATTAATACATATAATTTTTTTTTTTTTTTTTTGTGGAAATTATAGATATTGAAAACTCATTTACTTTTGAAATCATTAAGATAAAAAATAATCTATAATTTCTTAAGATGCAAATCATCACTGACAATCCAGATTACAATTTCGGGTAGTTTGATAGGATCTCTGGGAGAATATAAAATATTCAAATCACAGTCATGAATCTTCTTCAAACCAACACTATGAGAAAAATTTTGAATAAGTAAAAATTAATATTTCCAAAACCTCTTCAAATGAATTAGGGAGGGGGAAAAATGAGAGTGTTAAGTGCTGATAAGATAATATGAAAAAATAACAGCACCATATTTTCTTTTAAAGATTAAAATATTTCAGTTTTTATTTAGTTTGAATAATACCCAGTCAATAAAAACATTCAGTATTTATTAAAAGATAATATACATAATTCAGTTATTTAGAAAAAAATTAATATATTTTCTCATATCAGGGTAAGAGCCATAGAGAAAAACGGAAGACGCCTGAGATAATATTCTTCGGCTCCTGTCAAATGTTAAATTTACCCATAAAGCCCAATCAAAGCCTGTTGTATATAGTATACAACAAAAATATGTAAACTTTTACATAAACATAAAAATTTACATATTTTTATAAATATACAACACATTAAATAATTACTATTAATATTTTAAATGTTATCTGTATTTTATTTAAATGTAGATTTAGAAGTTAAAAAATAAAATCTTATAGGCCAAGCCGGAACTTCAGAGCTAGGACTCCGGAGATCCAAGTCTGGCTGCCCCTACCTTGCATCAACCCTTATCAGGGTGTAATCTGAACTATTATAGAGCTTTCATGACTTCATTAACAAAATAGTACAATTTAAACTTTTAAAAATATTTGATATTTGATGTTTAAAGTAAGGAGTGCAAGTAAATTGTAAAACTTTATCTAAATCTTTTTTATATTAAAAACAAAAATGTAGCTTAAAGGTTGATGAAAATAAGAGAATAAGGTTTATTTCAAGTTATAAATAAAATAAATTAAAGATTAATCAACACTTTCGACAAAATACTTCAAAAACTGTAACTGAAGGTTGATGCAACACACACATACCACAGATTTAAAAAAAAAAAGTTGTTAAACATTGATGAAGACAAACCTACCAACAAACTATGTTGGTAAATACTATGTTTTAATAATCTCAACAATTAGTAACAAACAGAAAAAAACGAAACAAAAAAACTTCAGATTACAACTCTGTGGAATGAAGAAACATTTCAGATTAAAGAATCACAATTATCTAGATAAACTAAAAAGTACTTAACATGCAATGTTATTATCCACTATCTAAACATATATATTTTTTCAGATTTGTATGTGTACCAATAATAGGAAGTGTGTTCCTCACATTAGGAGAAACTGCCGACGAAACACCTCCCATACCAGCATTGAATATACCTACACAAATTGATAATATAAGATTCAAATCAGTCCAAACTAAAGTTCTGAGTCCATTAAGAAAAATCACTCTGAAGAACATCTTAGTACATGCCTTTTGCTCCATTCTTAATATGATTCATTCTCTATTTAATAGAAAGGTATGATGGAAAATATTCAATTAATTGGTCAAGCAACTTTCAACATTTTAAATTTCTGCCTTCATATAAGAGATGACATTGTGTGTTAATAACTAACTAATCATTTGGAAGTGATTACCAAAATGTTTTGATTAATTGTGAGTGATAAATGTGTTAACATAGAAAAAATAACAGCTGAAAAATAAGAAATCAGTCTAAATTTTAGATAAGTACTACAACTTTCTTATTATACAAAAAGACGAAAAGTATACTGACTTTTGATCAACAAATTCCTGACATTGCCAAAAGGAAGAACTAATAAATGTTATAACTACCATTCAAGAAAAAAAGATCAATATCAAGTTTTACTTCAAGGTCATTTCAGTACTTCCACCCATTAATACTATATGAAAAAGTATAAAATTAATAACTTACAAAAAATAAATAATAGGACGAAAATATGAGTCCAACAAACTCTTAAGGAATGAGAGTTTATCTTGCTTGAGGAGGTAGAATCATGCCAATCCCCACTACTGAGCTGAACGCTCATGATCTGGTCAGCCTCAAGTTGTAAAAAACCAAATTGTCTAAAATTCTAGCTATTATTTTGTTCAAATGGAGAAAAAAATCTAAGTAATCATTTCAAAGCCAATATGATATTTAATCATACCATATTTTGAAGAACTGGCCATTTTTTACAGTATCAAAAATTCATATATAAAGGATGTTGTCAATTTTCAAAAGTAAATTCCATTATTTTTTATACTTATATTATGCTAATTTTCAGAACAATTGATTTACTTTTAACATCAAATTTGAAACTAAGTTGAAATTGATTGCTGAGCTAAAATTTATGATTTGCAAAACGATTATAACTATTTTTTGTAAAGGAAACTATTTAAAAAAATAATAGGATCAGTTTCTGTATATTTTTATAACGAGTTTAAAATTAATTGATATCTTTTTGTTGATGTTCATCATAACCTTATCGTTCAGAATCAATAATAGAAAGTATCATTACTAAGACCTATAAATGTTGTGATTAAAAGTGTTTGTTAGATAATTTAAAAAGAGCTTTAGCTCGTTTTTTTAATTATAATAAAAATACTCTTACGTTTATTGAACTAAAGTAGTCTTGTCGTTTCTGACAAGTCTTGTCTTTTCTGACAAGTCTTGTCTTTATCTGACAAGAACCATTTACATAGGGAATGGGAATTTAAATAGCTTTAATTAAAGACTTAAGTAAAGTTTTCATCTTATATTACTTATTTACTACTGTTCGTTTAAATTAAAAAAAAAAACAACGCCTATACCCAACTAAAAAAATAATAAAAATATACAAGAATACCAAAAAAATATTGGTTCAAGCAACACTGTTCAAGGCAGCTGCTGTCACATGACAGTCAGCTGTCGGCTTCTGAGGCAATGACGTTGACTTAGTGAAGCCTTCAATTTATAGTGAATGAAGCCCTTATCAATAAGTTTATTCACTCCTAATCATGTCATTACCAGGAGGGAAAATGGCTTGCCCTGGAAATGGGATTTATGTTATTCAAGGAGAAATGTCTGTTCTGCTTACTGCTATGAAGAAAGTAAACAGATGGTCTTCTCATGTCCACCAGGTTGGTGTTTATTTTGTGGTATTGGTTTATTTACTATTTGATTTATTGATTCATAGTGCTTGAAGATTACTCCAAAATTCTATTTTTCGGGACGTAAGAATACTTGTTTTCTTGTTTTATTAGGATGATGAAAATGATATTCTTATCAGAAGCTTCACTGATCTCAAAGACGTTTTAAATCAGATTGGTGATCTTAGAGAAGTAGAGCCAAACCATTTTCTTAGCCCCTTTCTGGAAGTAATTAGATCAGAAGAAACTACTGGACCTGTTACCAGTCTTGCTTTATCCTCTGTCAACAAGTTTCTTTCTTATGGATTAATAGGTGAGAATATGTATTGTTGAACTGCAATTACTCTTGTATGCAGTTTTCAAGGTAATATAAAAAGTTTTCTTACTGGGAATGCGTTAATGTGTGAGACCATCGTTCTGTTTGCCTTAATTAATGATTGATAATAAACTGTTTACATTTTTTGCATCCATAAATTAGTTTTAAATGCTCTATATTAATTACAAACCTTGTGTTTCTAATTTTGTTTATTATGTTTGTACGTATGTAATGTAACTGTTCTTGTTTTTATACAAGTCTGCCAGTCTTGCAAAGATCATTTCATGTTTTAAAGTTATGTCTAATACCATGTTTACTGTATAGATTCGAAGTCGAAGACAATTGCAGCTACTGTTGAAAACATAGCAGAAGCAGTTACTAGGGCCAGGTTTGTTGGGACTGACCAAACCAATGACTCAATTGTTTTGTTAAAAATTTTGCAGGTATGATAATTTTATTTTACTTTTATTTTGCAGGTTATATTTTTCATTTTATTATCTGGCTATGTCTATGATATCATGGATTATTTTATTTATTTTTAAAATTAGGTTCTTCGAACTTTGTTACTTTCTCCTGAAGGTTGTTGGCTTACCAATGAAAGTGTTTTAGAAATCTTGCTGAGTTGTTTTCGAATGTGTTTTGAACCCCGTTTAAATGGTAAGTCAAACATGGATGTATTTATAATAATTTGTTATTTTGCATTTTGAAATTAATCAAGATAAATATATACCTTGATCTTAATAAGTTTATTGTAGATTATGGATATTTTATACTATTAAATGTTGTACATATATGTGCCTCGGAGGTATAGCATACATTGACGTCTTCCCCTAACTTCACTGGAGAGCTGTTCAAACAGATTTATTCCTTCAAATAAATGTGAACTTAGTGTTCTTAAAATTTATTTATTTGGGATAAGAAAAAAAAAAGAAAGAAAAATGTGTAATAATTCTAAAATGGTGAAAATGAATAGAATTTTCTATATCTCTGAGGAACAGATGTATTGATGATCTTCTAGTAATTAATTATTTGTCTTTCTTTCTTTCATTGAATATTTTGCTTTATTAGAATTGTTGAGGAGATGTGCTGAGAATTGTTTACGTGATATGGTTCAATTGTTATTTAGTCGACTTCCTAGTTTTACTGAGGATAATAGGAAAATCCAGGTGAGTAGCTTTGATCTATTTATTCAATATATTTCCTTCATTAACTATGTTAGTTTTTTAAAATAGTTTTTGACAACTTATATATTAATGCCTTTTTTAATTTTTGTCATATTATGAAAATAAAGCTTTTCTTTTAAATATCTCAAAATTTCTTGAAATTATAGAGAATACAAGAAATTTTTCTTATTTGCTTTGGTATTATGGTATAACATCTTTGGGTCTTTAACACCTACGTGATATAAGTTTGGTAAAAAAAATTGTTGAATAAAATATAGTACATTTTCTTTTTTCTGTTGGCATTACATACCATGTAGATATTTTGCCACCTTAACAAGGCTGCTCCATCTCTGCCTGTCTTGGGCTATTTCTATTCATTTATCTGTACGCAGCCCTGTTGCATCTTTGTTGATTCTATCCATCGATCTGCTTTTTGGCCTTCCACGTTGTCTTTTGCCTTCTATTGAGGCATTCATTGTTACGTAGAGACTTCCAGATGGATTGATATGAGCTACGTGGATGGGAGCCCATCTTAACCTCTGTTCCTTCATATCATGGGATATTGATTGACCAGTTTCTGTAAGCAATTCTTTATTGGTCTTTCTTCTTCATGTGTTTGTACTCTGATTCCAGATCGCTACAGTGATGGTGCGGAGGATTTTCCTCTCCAATCTTTTAACACTTTTTTCTAAGGTGCTGGTTAGTGTCCAGGTCTCACAGCCATGTATCAGAACTGGCTTTATCATAGCATTGTACGTCCTTAGTTTGAGATTTTTCGGGATTTCAATACCTTTGAGAGGGAGAAGAAAGCTCTGTATGCTCTAGTTATACACTGGTATATTTCAGCTCGTTGGTCATTCATTGAAGTTATTGTGGAACCGAGATATTTGAATTTTTCTACTCTTGGAAATGATTTTCCTTCTAAGCAGATCCTGTTATTGGGATGGAATTTTTGGCTTATTATCATATATTTTGTTTTGTCTTCATTTACTTGTAGGCCGATCTGCTCTGCCTCTCTTATCAGTGTTGCAGGGAGTTTCTCAATGCCTTCCCTATTACTTCCAAGGACAGCTATATCATCTGCGTATCCAAGGATTTTATGATTCATTCCAACATGGATCTCTCCATTTTCCTGTGATGTTGCTCTTATTACCTTCTCATGGGCTAAGTTGAACAACATCAGTGATAGTCCATCTCCCTGCTGTAAGGCCGTTCGAACTTTGAAGGCTTCAGATATTTCTCCTTGTATTAGGACTCTACATTTGTGGTCACTTTTACACACCTTTGTCAATCTCACTAATTTACCGGAAATTCCCAGTTCAGTCATGATTTTCCAAAGACAGCTCCTGTCCACTGAATCATAGGCTGCTTTGAAATCGACAAATAGGGCCTGGACGTTCTGAGCTACTTCCCATCGTTTTTCGGGTACTTATTTTAGAATGGAGTAGAAGAATCAACTTTATTCTGGGACAAAGTCCCTTAGAATAACAATGTTGTGCATAAAAATTAACATACCTTCTGGCCAAAATATATATTACAATAAAAAAATAACTAAAAACTAAGTGATAACAGAACTATTTACCTTATTACATTTTATGATAAAGATCTGGCCTAGCTTGATTCTCCTTTTTCTGAATCCAGCTTGGTGGTTGCCTATTATATTCTCGTAATACTAATAAATTTTTAGAACATTTAATTTTAATTTCATTATTATCACTTAAGAATTTTGAAATACAAATTCCTTTTGTATGTTTTAATTAAAAATAAAATTCCTGGTATAAATTTTTTCAGACACCTGTTAAATATTAACTTCACCACAGTAATTCAACCTCTCCTCAAATAACTGAATATTTAAATATTTATCATGTAAATGTAATATTTTATACTAAAAAAATTTGGAAAATAAAAAATTAAAACTGGTTGACCGTGTAAAGCTCAGGAGCTACCATTTCGTCGGGCCTGTTCATGATTTATCTTATCGAATCAATGCCTGTGTACCAAGAATGAGATAGTGTGAAATAGTTCTGTATTATTATTTATAATACTTTATTGAATTATAATACAAAATTTCTGTTAAAGTACAGAAGTTCTGTTTGATGGTATATGAAATAATTTAAGTATGACCAAAGTTTATCAGAAATAAATGCACATTTAAGAAATAAAATGTATATGGAGGATGGGTTCAAGATACTGTAATTTACTAAAAAAAATTAATGAAATGACAAATTAATTGTGCAATGAAAATATATAAAAAAGAATAAAGTTAAGATCACCATTCTAAATCGTTATTATTCTGAAATAATATACAGTTCTTTATATTATAATTCTATTATTTTTACAGCAAAAACTCAAAATGAATACTAGTGCCCCTTTGGATTCAGGTAAAGGGAAGAAAAAAACCAGCCGACCATCCTCCAGAAAAGTTTCCAGGAAAAGTCAAGACAAATCTCCAAGCCCTGGTAGATAGTAATTTGTTATTTCTTGTAAGTCCTGATAATATTTATTGTTTTAATTTTATCCTTTTGTAGTATTTGGTTCAGAAGTTTCAAATGCTCTGAAAGAATGTGATATCCAGCAATTGCCCTTACCTGATGAGCCACCAATTACATCTCATGATAAATTAGAACCCGAGATTCTTACTGTGCCTACTGAGGAGTCGCTAGCTAAAATTCCATCTAATGGTTCACTTGAAATTAATTCTGTTAATAGTGAGTTTTATTTTTTACTTACTTTAGGTCATGTCTGTAAAGTGAAATGGACTATTTTTTTTTCTTCTAAGCTAAAGTAATGTTGATCCATAATAGTGTTATATATTCAGCAATTTTTTTCTATGAACTATATTATTTTTCTAGAGATTGGTTTGTCTTTCTAAAATAAAAGGAAATATTCGATATATTAGCTGAAGATAACTTTCAGCATAATTTATAACTATAGTTATTAGAATAATCGATATGACAATCTAAGAAAGAAGCTCAAAATTACATAAGTAATGTTAATATAACTTTTCTTATTTAAATACTTAATAAATAATAATAATAATAAATATATCTGATGTATTTCTTTTCTTTTGCAACTTTCTGTTATTCTTTAGGGACTCGTCCCAGAATAAAGTTAATTTTCTATTTCTAATATTCTTTGTCTACTTCCAGGATACAGCAAGCTATTGATGCGACCACAGATTAGTCATTAATCTTTTACATATTCACATTTATTTAAAATTTTAATTTTTCATTGATTATATTTTGGAAATGATTATTTTATATTTAAATAATTTTGAATCATGTTTGTAGATGTTTCCAATGTGAATAATTTGGAGGAACATCAAAATGCCACTTCATCAGCGATTCTTGATGATGGTGTTATTATCAGTATTGAAGATTCAAGTTCCCAAAATAGTGAATCAACAGAACAACTGGTTAGTTTTTTTTTTTTTTTTGCTAAATTCAAATTTATATCTCACTTATTAAGAAATAAATTATATTGTAAGAAAAAAACAGTAAAGTATTTATTTTGTTAATTTGGTATCCAAGAGAGTCTTAATATCCTTGAGGTTTTTGTTTAAATTTCTTATTAATACATTTTGAAAAATTTATTTGGGGAAACTTAAATAGTTTTACACATTACTATACCTTACCACTGTTTTAACAATTATTCTTCTGGACAAATAAAGTGAGATGAAAAAAAATAATTGTAATCATTACAGCCTATTTATTTAATTCCACTAGAATCTTTTTATTCTATAGGATTGGAAGAAAGGTGTCATACAGGTTATTTTATTGTGAGAACAAGGGCATTTCATAGTTTTTGAAATAATCCTGCAAATTGTCATTTATTTTAAATCTATATTGTTACCAGTTATTCATTTTCATATTCATTTATTTTAAATTAAATTTCTAATTTCTCGATTGGTTATCATTTGTCACATTTTAAAGTAATTAATAGCATTTGAACATAATTTATTTTTCTTATGTATTAATTTTATGTGTAAGTCTTGTTCAGTTTTTTTTTCTTCAATAAAGGCAACCATTGGTAACTTGTCCGAAGTGAAGAGGCCAGATGACTTAGATGTGAATCCTTCTGAAACTAATTTCGCTTCTCCGTTGGATTCGAAAGCGGAAGAAGAACCTTTGATAAGTCCTACAACTCCTGAAAGCCCTGTAGAAGGACAAGATTGGACAAACCAGCAAGGGGTTAGGTTTACCAATACTGAAAGTGATAGTAAGTTATTTTTTCAATAATTTATGGCGTGTTTTCAAATATTTTAGCAATTATCTTAGCTCTATAGAATATTATATATGCCATGATTTCAATTGAGTATTCAGTTCATTATTCTGACCAGTGCTGTTTAGGTCCTCTAATAAGTCGCCTAAGTAAGAACTCAATCAGTAGCTTTTTGGGAATTATCTTAACCTGCTTCACGGGCAGAGGCTTGTCTCCTTTTGTTGGTTCCTGTGGTGCCATCCTCAGTGTATAAGTACATAGCTGTGAATGTTTAAAAACACCTTATGCTCAAAAAAGGAACTCAAAAATAAGAATATAATTTTTCCATTTCCTGACAAAATTAATTATGATCCAAACAAAAACTTGCAAGAAGTTCATTTTGAAGTGCATTTTAGTTCATTCTACTAATCAGTAACAGGAAATAAATTGATCTATAATATTTTTTACAAAAAGTAATTTTAAATTCTGTTGCGCAATGAATTTTTCACAGAAAATAATTTGATTTGGAGCTCCTCCAACAATATCTAAGGTTTCTATTTTTCATTCCAGTAGATTTTTACAGAGTAGGTTTAGTGCATATCAGCCTACCTCATATCATATTAAAATAATGGATTAGGTTAAAAAACAAATATCCATTTTTTCCTGATCTTTATTTATAGAAATTAATTATAAATCACATTACGTTAACATTTAATGTTTATTCAGATTATTTTTATTTATATAATTTGTTATTGTTTTAAGTTATGTTTATTGGACATGAATTTTGATGAATTAAGATATTATTATTATTAAAAGCCAATTGATGTGCAGCTGCAGTGATCTAGAAAAGTAATGTGGTGAGCTTTATTTCTAAAAATATAAGGAAGGGGTCTTTTATAAAAATCTGTTCAATTTTGATTTCGAAAATTCAAAAATAACACTCGGGATTAAAATAAACCAGATTCAGGTCTATCTCTAGAGCGGTCATCCTAAAATATGGAGTCAGAACTCAAAAACGTTTTTGATGATCATATGATCACCTGTAAACCACCATCCAACATCTCCAACTAAAAAAAAGAATGTAGGCAGTTTTATTATGATCCTTGTGTCATCCACATTTTAGAAATAATTGAAAAAACTTAGAATGATTTCAGAAAACACTTATGCTAGGTTTTTTTTTTAAATGTATGCTTTGTGTTTCATGTAATTTTCCTTTACAATAGTTTAAAAGACTGTCTGAAATGGTATTAAAGTTTGGTTATAAAAATAGATATTTGAGAGTTAATGCTTATTTTATTATCTTTTTTATTCATTGCAGCAACAGCTCCTTCTGGTCCTTACGGACTGCTCAGTGCTCATGAGCTCTTGAGGTTTTTGGCTTCTCTTTGCAATCCTCTAGACAAGCAGAATTCAGATAGTATGATTCACATCGGGCTCACTCTTATCACTGTTGCTCTTGAAGTTGGGGCCGACAGCATTGCGAAGTTTCCTTCACTTTTATCAACTGTGAAAAATGATGTCTGCAGAAGCCTTTTAGCTGTAAGTTTTGATTATTTCAAAATCTTGTACAAGTTTGATTTGATATTATGTTCAGAGTTTTATTTATTTTTATTATCATATTTTATTTTGGGCAAAAAAGTCCATTAAGATTATCTGTTTCTTTTTTTTTTCAGTTGTTAAATACTGAAAAACTTCCAATTTTTGCATCAGTGCTGCAAGTTTCTTTCCTTCTGTTTGAATCTCTTCGAACACATCTTAAATTTCAACTGGAACGTTATTTATCAAGGCTGACTGAAATAATCATTTCTGATTCCTCAAAGATTTCATATGAACACCGAGAAATAGCACTAGGTTAGTAATTATTCATGTCTATAAAATAAATATTCATATTTATGTTCCTTAATTGTGCTAATTAATAAAGTGCATTATTAATTGTCTGTAATGAAGGTTTTCTTATTATTATTTATTTTATTTCAGAATCTGTCGTACATCTTTGGCGAATACCTGGCTTAGTGACGGAGCTGTACCTTAATTATGACTGTGCTCTGTACTGTCCTAATTTATATGAAGAACTAACCAATCTTTTATCTAAAGTATATTTGGTTTCTATTTATTGATGTTTTATACTTTGTAGTTGCATTTATACTTCGTTATTGTTTATTTGACATTTAAGACAATTAGATGGCTTTACATCTTTGGTTTATTTTTTATTTTTGTAGAATGCTTTTCCTGTTACTGGTGTTTACAACACCCATTTACTGTCATTGGATGCTTTATTGACTGTCATAGACTCTATAGAAAGTCACTGTAATAGTAGAATATTAAATGAAAGGCAAAATCCATCAAAAGGTTTGTTTTTGAAGGTTTACTCATTTGTAATATATTATTATTTTTCTCTTTTTTGACTTTTCTTCTTTTGAAAATATTGACAGATGGAGAAATTAATAAATTAGAGTTCCATGATTTTGCCAGCAATTATATCCATCGCACTGGCACCCGTCAAAAGTTGTCATTGAATATCCCTAGTCACGAGCAATTGATGGCTGTGAAAAGAAAGAAAAAGGTATGATTATTATTTTTTCTTAAATTGTTTTCATTAATTTAAGTCCATATTTTATAGATTAATCATTGCAATATAATTTTCAGCTCCTGGCTACTGGCACTGAACATTTCAATTCAAAACCTAAAAAAGGAATCCAGTTTTTACAGGAACACAACCTGTTATCGACACCTCTAGATGCTGTTGAAGTTGTTGGGTTCCTGAGAGAAAATCCTCATCTCGATAAGAAAATGATTGGGGAATACATCAGTAATAGGGCCAACATTGCTATACTTGATCAGTTTGTCAAGTGAGTTGTATGGATGTTCTTAAGTAATTAAGTAAATATTGTATATCTTATTGTTGATTAATTTCATAATAATTGTTATTCAATAGGTCATTTGACTTTACTGAGATGCGCATCGATGAAGCATTAAGGTTATATCTAGAAACGTTTAGGTTACCTGGAGAGTCTCCTCTAATATCTTTAGTGATGGAACATTTTGCTGAACATTGGCATGTAAGTTTTTTTTCTTTAAAATACTTTAGTTAAAATATAATACTTTCCTGCTTGGCTTGTTCGTTGATGTATACTAATTTTATTTTGTTGATGCTACTTGCTACTCTACTACGTGTAGGTACCCAGAGACATTTTCCTAGGCCATATTGCTTATACAGTGCTACTATTTTTTTATAGTAATGCTTATTACAGCCTATTTATTCATTTTTAACTTTTGATTTATCCCTTGTAAATAGCTATTATATTTTATACTATTTACTGCTGAAGTAAATCATGGGTCTATTGTCCAGTAGAATTCTAGCTCTTTTTTATTTTGTATTCATTTCATAGTGAAATAGGATACTTTTTTTTTGTATAATTCACACCAGTTTCTATTTCTGGGAGTATCTGGTAGATACTTCTTCATGCTCCTAGTGAGGAACAGATCTATCTACTTCAGAGACCTAGCGGACCTACCCACGTAAGCTCTTGTTGTTCCCTTACTTCTATATCCTAGGGGAAACATGACCCATTCCTGTATCACATCTAACTCAACTTTATCCTCTCCTTATAGTTAATCCTATCCTTCCATCATGGAACAGAAGGCCAGTTATCCTGAAGTAACAGGATATTCTTTACTGGGCCAATCACCCATAATTGAGTAAAAAGATTCAGAGAAATATGAACCCTCAAACTGAGATGCATAAGGGGAGGGGAAAAAAGTTTCTGTTTCTAATTATAATTAGCTTGAATTATTTTTGTACTGATTAAAATAAAATCCTTTAGTCCATGGTATAGACTAAATATTGGAATATTTGACGTGATGTCAAAATAACGAGATTTTATAGCCCAAACAGTCCAATATCTTTGTAGGTCACCTTTTTTTCTCAATTATGTGATCAAATTATCTTGCAGTTCAAGTGGAATTAACAGATTTTACCAATCTCTAGATTGAGCATGCCCCATTTCTGAGAATTATAATTAATAATTGGATAAAAAAGGGGTCTGTACGGTGGAATACTATTTTGGATGAATTATATAACTTCAATAGTATGAATTGAGACAATTTTTTGTATATTGAAACTCCTGTGAAAATCTTAATAGGTGCTATAATTGGCAGTTATTTAGATCCAAACAAAAAAAGATCTTAAATTATTCCTAGGTCACATGTCATGAAAATATAGTTGACAGATTCCTGTAGATAGTAAAACTAGCTATCCTAAGTCACTTTACCATGTTCCCACTACTTTTTCCTATGGATCCAAGTAATCCTCTAGGGTCCAGATAGACCTCAGTAACTACTGTTTTTTTTTTTTTAATGTTGGCTCAAAGCACGTTGACCCCTATTGGGTCAGTTGTGCGCATCTAACTACTGTTGGTAATAAAGTCTTTATAGCCTGTAAGTATGTCGACTATAAAATTGTTTAATGACTTTAATTGTTTGCAGAAATGTAATGGAGAGCCTTTCGCTAATGCTGATGCAGCATTCACACTTGCCTACGCGATTATAATGTTGAATGTGGACCAACATAATCATAATGTTAAAAAACAAAATACTCCTATGTCATCAGATGCTTTTAAACGCAACTTGAAAAATGTGAATGGAGGGCAAGATTTTGAAGAAGAAATGCTTGATGAAATTTATATTGCAATTAAGTAAGTAGATTTAGTTAATTATTATAAGGTTATATTGCTAATTTTTTTCTACCAACTATTTATTGTAATTATGAATTTGTACATTGTTGAAATAAAATTATTAAAAGACTTAAGGGGTACTCTTTGAGTGTTGGATCCATCAAAGTTGGTGTAACATCGGTATTATTAATCATGTTTGTTAGGGAATGGTAGTGATGTTATTGAGTTTTCCATTGCTTATCATGTTCATCATTACCATAAATTGAACTAACTTAAAGTGTTTAGGTACTGTTGAGACTGGAAAAAAAAACTTCACCACTCTAAAAAAATTATTTCCTGACATTCTGACGGTTACTGATAGTGGCCTGACAGTAAAAAAATTTGGAATTATAAAAAATTAGAGTAGTAAAGTGACAATGAAAGATGTAAGGTTTCAGGTACGGATCCAGTCTGACTGGTCTGAAGCATTTCCCTCCAACAAAGGATTAAGACAGGATGATGGACTGTCCTCTTGCACTAGAGAAAGCTGTACAGGATTCAGAAATCCAGACAGACCACACGATATTCACCTGTACTGTACAGATATTGGGATGCGCTGACAATCTGGATATCCTGACCAGGACACGATCGGCATTGGTAAAGACCTTTAGGAAACTCATGGACGCTGCTTCAGCCATCGGATTGGCCATAAACGAGAATAAAACGAAATATATGCACACAGGGACTGGTGTCGACGAGGAACTGAGTGTTGGTCTTTACACATTCCAAATGGTGAACGAGTTTACGTTTTTGGGATCTCTAGTAACTCCAATAAAGGATGTCTCTGCTGAGATAAGGAAAAGGCTGGTGGCAGCAAATAGGGCATATTTTGCCTTACTGAAAACTCTCCGCAGCAGATCCATTACCAGGGGCACTAAACTGGTCTTACACACCCAGTTCTTACCTATGCTTCCCAATCCTGGACCATCTCAAGAAGTGATGAAAATAATCTTTTGATTTTCGAAAGAAAAATCTTACGTCGAATAGTTGGCCCAGTGAGAGATGGAGATAGATGGAGGATTAGGAGGAACTGAGAGCTTTATGACCTTTACAGAGATATGGACATTGTAAAGTTTATAAAACTGGAGAGGCTCAGTTGGGCTGGTCATGTCGCAAGGATGAAAGCGGAAGGAAGAAATTCCTAGAAAAGTAGTGGACACCGCCCTTCATGGTACACAACAGCCTGGTAGGCCAAGGCTTCGATGGGTTGATGGAGTGGCAGCGGACGCATGGAGCCTGCTACGGATCAGAAGCTGGTAAGCGACAGCACAAAATCAGGCCAAATGGCGGTGGCGAGGAGGCCAAGTCCCACCCAGGGTTGTAGCACAACGTAGATAGATAGAGTAGTAAAGTTTTTTCCTTTTTTAAATTTAATTGTTTCCGGTCTTAGAAATCCTTACTAAACCTTAAGCTCAAATATATTAATTAAAATTTCTTTCTAATATTTTTGTTTTGATTTTGGGGTCCTTTAATCTTCCTGTATTTATCTTCCTTAATAACTAAAACCATTCAGTGCCAATATTTTTCTAGAATTAAACCTAGTTGGCTGCATGAAGTTTTATCTTGAATGATAAATAGTCCAGAAATCAGTCATAATTTATTTTTTATTATATATCTATTCAATCCAAGCTTGTGGGTTCGTCAACAAGCCTAAAATTAAATTAGATATGTATACTCTTCAAGAGCAGATGTAAATAAAAGAAAAGAAAACTACGCATACCTATTATCTGTTTATGTACTGTAGACATATTTATTATCTCATGTATTTCTGATTTAATTTTAGCCCTGATGATGGCCCACAACCTTGAGTCAAATTGTCAGCATTCGTAATAAAAAAAAAAAGTTGAATGATTTCCTGGCTATATTATAAGTTGATTTTCTCACATTAATTTTGAATTTTAAACTGTTAAATTCAATTTCTTTGGAAATAATATGCAATGGCTAATGTTCATTTGCTTTAATTTTTTGTTAAAGGACTGAAGAAATCGTAATGCCTGCTGAGCAGACTGGTCTAGTTAAAGAAAACTACGAGTGGAAAGTATTGCTCCGGCGAGGAACCGGACCAGAAGGTTGTTATGTACATGCTCCTAATGGTTTGTTGGATCACGATCTGTTTTCTCTGATTTGGAGCCCTACCATTTCAGCTTTGTCCTATTTGTTTGATAAGACCAATGATCCAACTATTTATCAGAAAGCTATATCTGGGTTCAGGTAAGATTTATTTTTATGTTTATGTGTTTGTTAATATACATAAACTTACACAATAGCTGTTCCATTTATTACTATCCAATTATAAAATGTTAATATATATATAAAATTAGACATGTATCTTGAAGAAATATTTTCTCAGGGTATTCTCCTTTGGGTTTATACACCACCATAGGCTTAATCGTATCCATCTGGATCACCTACTTCCATTGAGTGGCGTTTCCTACAATAGTCATCTGAATATTTTCCTAAAGTCTTGTCAAGCCTTCTTTTCATATGTTTGATCACTACTCTCTACAGAAGTTTGAGCGAGACTAAAAAGTACACCACTTCATATGAGATTAAAAACAAGCTCTTGTGATGCCTAGCAAATTCTATTAATTACTAACATGGTTGGAACATGTTAGTGTACAATCTTTCTGTTCTTTTATCGATTAACACCCAAATATAATGACTAATTTAACATTCTCACATCCTTTTAGATTATCATATTTTCTGATAAATGACTTCTTTTCCTTTTGTTTATTAATTCTAACATTTAGAGGTTATCACAAATAGTGCTGAAGAATTATTTGCTTTAAAACCCTGCGAATTATAAATATTAATTTTTAAAAATACAAAAAAACTTTTATTTTATTCCTTTGGTTATATTTATTTCATTGAGGTTTAGAAGGCTCATTTCAAACAACTAATGCTTCTGTCCTTTTCTAGTTGAGACTCAAAAGGCATAAGTTCCAAAAGTTTAGATTTTAGATGTGATCTAGATATAACTTTATATCTTAATTTAACACTAAATTAATGGCATCTATTGGTTTTTAGGAAATGCGCAATGATATCAGCTCATTATGGAATGAGTAATGATTTTGATAATCTGATTGTGTCACTTTGCAAATATACTATGCTTCATTATAGTGCCGAGGTGAGTTTTTAGTATAAGTGGTTTTTTTTATTAATTACCAGACTAAGTGAAGCGACACGAAGATTATGTGTTTGGGTTGTCCGCTAAAGATGATTGTATTATTAATTAATAAAAAAGTTAAATTAAAAGCACTTTTTTATTTTAATTAATAGTTCTTAAAACTAGTAAAACTTGTCAAGACATTGGTTCCACCTCTGCTGTCCACCTCAGGGCAGACCCATTTTACTAATTATATAAAAAGAAAAAAAAACAAACCTGTAACACTACAACCCATGAAGGGTCTTGGGTGCAGTACTATGTGAAGAAGTACGTGTTTCAAGGCCAACGGTTGTGCAGGGAGGTGATGGGGCCGATATCACGCTTAACCGCCAGGTTTTCCCCCTTAATTATTTTTTATAATTAAGTGTACCCACTTTATAGAGGCTGGGTGTGCCCCAGGAGGGTCTCCCGATCCCAGGGTCAATCCACGGCTAATGAAAAATTATTAATTATTAGCTGGATTCGAACCTAGGACCTTGAGCTTTGGAAGTCAGTGCTTACCCACTGAGCTACCCCGCTCTCTACTAATTATATAACTGTTCATTTAATATTACTACTAGTTGCTCAAATTGTATCGCCTTAACTTATCGCCAATTTATATTATTATAAAATTATAATTATGCTTATTGCCAATTTATAGCCATAATAAGGGAGAAATAATTCTGAAAATAACAAGTGTGGTGTCTTCGTTATGGTCTGTCCCGCTTTGTATATTTAAAATAAAATATGACAGTGACCAAAAACTTTTTTATAAAATAGAAAAATTTGTTTGTATTTATTTAATCTTTTTTTTTTTTGCATTTACTATAACTTTCAAGATTACTTTTCCCTTCATTTATTTGTCTAACATTGTTTTTAACAGAGTCCAGAAAATCTTACTATCTCCTTTGGATCGAGCCCTAAGGCTAGACGTGCTGCTAAAACAGTTTTTGACCTTGCTCATCGCCATGGTGACATAATTAGGGAAAGTTGGAGAAATATTTTAGATTGTATCTTGCAACTGTATAGGTGTAAACTATTACCAAAGATCCTCGTTGAGGTAATTTGTTAAAAGCATTATTGTATAATCTAGTTGTACAACACTTCCTTGTTTAAATTAAAAACAACACTTGTTTGAAGAATTATTAAACTTCTTTTTTTTTTTAAATATTACTCATTATATTCACTTGTGAATAGTAAAGTTGAAGTTTTCTGTTTTGTATTTTAGGCTGAAGATTTTATTGAATTAAGCGGTAAGATATCTCTTATACGTGAAGACATACAACTCAGCCCTAAAACCGAAACTGGAATCCTCAGCTCATTATATTCTTACATAGCTCTCGGAGCAGGTATTGATCACCATTCCCATTATTATCATTACTCGTTAATCATAAGCTACTTATTATACATATTTAAATTTATATTTTTGTTTACCAGAAACGAATACTCAAAAAGGACCATCAGTTGAAGATCAAGAAGCCATTAAAGTTGCACAGAATTGTATAAGGGAGTGTCATCTCGAGCAGCTTATTACAGAATCTAAATTTCTGCGCATTGATTCCTTACAACATTTTGTCAAGGTATTTTTCATCTTTTTTATTCATGGTGTAATACATATTGATTGATGAAATGAGTGTATGTCTTCCTGTTTACTATTGGCATAAATAGTAATAAGTACAAATAATTAAATTTTGATGATGGCTTGCTAAAAGTTGAATCGAATTTATGAAGTAAAATTTTATTTAAATGGAACAAGGAGGAGATTTAGAAGTTTATTATTTACTATTTAAATTTACTTATTGTTAATATTTCAATTACCCTGATATACTGCATTAATATCAATCAGTGTCTAACCATAGTCAATATAATAGTAAAGAATTTAAACCTTTCTTGGAAGAAGTTTAACAGTTTGAATTATTATATGCCATAGTTTTACTTAATATTTTTATTAAGAGCTATATTAGAAAAATAAAAATTAGTTGCCAAATAAGAATCCCTAAAGATAAGTGTAAACTAATTTTTATTGTGGGCCAGTGGAACAAGTTCAAACTTATCAGCGTAACATGTCCAAACTTCCAGATCAAGTGTCGAGTGACAATTCTTATTCACTTGACTTGTCATTCTGGCCTCACTGCTATGACGAAGACTTATAACTTAGGCGTAATCTTGGTATAATTTAAACAACCTTTAATAGAATAATATTTTTATTTTACCCTGGAAATTTTGGTAATGGTGAGGTAATGTAATACATTTAAGGTGATGTATACCACTGTTGCCAATGGAAAACATTTTTTTTTTTACTTTGAAAAAATGTGGAACCAGATTTTTCTTAACTACTGCATGTAGTTTTAGAAAGATTGTAAAATTGACCCTGAGTATTTTTTACTAGAGTAAAATGTTATAGATCTTTCCTATTTACTGTTTTTAGATGTTTCTCTTTATCTCATTTAGTGGCTTTCTTTCTTACAAGAACAATTTGTCTGCATTAACAAGAACTTCTACTTTCATACAGCAGATAATCCCCTATGTAGGATTTGGAGGTAGAAGGAACACAATATTTGATCATTTTCTGAAAAAAATTAAGCAAGGGATTTCCAGATACTCAGCTCAATGGAAGAAAGAATTTTTAATACAGTTAATAGACAGAGAATTGTTTTTCTCCATTGGTTGATGAAATATTCGTAGGATACATTGTAGTCAAATATTTCATATTAGAACTGATCATGGGCTGTCAAGCTGAACAATACTATATATTTATTTTATTTTTTCTATAATGGTGAATCAAGCATGCTTTACTGTAGTAATATTCATTAATAATGATTTTTTTTGTTGTTAGGCACTTGTCACTGCATCTTATGGACCTGAAGGCCACGTTTCTCTCGGTACTTCTTATAGTGAGGATACTGCTGTATTTTTCTTGGAGCTCCTTTTGAAAGTCGTTATTCAGAACAGGTATTCTATCCTAATATTTTTATCCTTTTAATTAAAGTAAATAGATTTATTCTAAAATAAATTATTTGAACTATTTCAGAATAGCCTTTTCTGCTTGAAGGTAAAGGGTTCAACCGGATTAATTATAAATTCCTTTAAATATATTTCATAATAGATACAAAGTCATTTTTTACTTTCCTACCGCTGTTTAGTAAGTTAAGTATTGTGATCAGGTCAAATTTCCAATGTGCAGTTTTCAACTAATCTTTACGTTTTAGAGTCCGAAAAAGACTTTTTCAAAAAATAAACAAAACAAAAAAAAAGATATCAGATTTCTAGAAGAACACATGAAAAATATTTAGAAAAACATATCTTTTGCACCAAATCGTCCAATTAAACGATTTTTTTAGGAAATTTCGTAAACTTTATAATGACCATTATAACATCAACAAAAAGGTATACTTTTTTAGTTATTCGGAAATCTGATTTTACCACTCCTTTTTTCCAGCTTGAAGAAGTATGTTATATACATAAATTTAAAGTTCTTTGAGGGTAAGAATTTAATCAAGTTTAATCGAAATCGGTACATCAATTTAGGCACTACATATCTATGGCACAGGTGATTCAGTTGCCACCTTAAAAAGAAAGTAGTTTTTGGTGAAGTATGTCATATGTCTATAGTGACACAGGTTTTTTGGCCGCCACCGTGAAAGAAAAGGTTATGTCGAGTTCTGATGATCATTCTCTTGCTTCTTTTTGCATTGATGCCAAATCTCAAAACAATCGATTCAGTAGTCTCAGGGCTGATGGAAAAGCTGCAGATAGACGGATTTTTTCAAATTCGAGTTTTTGATTCTACTCATACATAAAACCAAATGTTTAGGGGAGGTTAACTTTTTTTTTAGAGGGCAACTTCATGCTTTACTATCATTATGAATGAAGGTGAGAGATTCTTATAAAATAATCACTGGAATTATGTATGTGCCTGTGTGCAAATAAGGTAAAAATATTCCCAGAAATTTGACTAGGCGAGAGTTCATCTTTAACTAGAATTTTTTTTCTAGCATACTATATATATTTTTTCTTTTTCCTAATATAATTTCCTATACATCCCTCCTCCCGTATTTTTTGGGCCAGTTTGGATTAGTGGGGTCTTCGGACTATGTAGTTTAGATTTCTAAGATTGCACTACCTCATTATAATAATTTCAATATTTAAAAAATATGTAATGATTATAATCTTAAATTACTTAAATTTCAGAGATCGCATTTCTTCAATTTGGTGTTCTGTGAAAGAGCACATCTATACCCTGCTTATGGGCGCTGCTGCTTGTGATCACCACTTCCTAGTTGAGAGGTCTGTCGTTGGTCTCCTCAGGCTTGCGATTCGCTTGATGCACAAAGAAGAAATGGGACCTATGGTATGTAAAAGAAATTAAACTGGATTTTTCTCTTATTATTGGTGAAGATATATTACTGGAAAAGGCATTAATATTTCCATGACTAATAAGTTTTATTTTAGATTATCAAGTAAAAGATAATTTTGTGTAAAATGTAAAATAAAAATAATAGTCTGCGGGACAGACCCATTTTTATCAAATTATTAACATCCATCTAAAACTTTGTGAATGGCTTCATCTTACCATGACCTACTTTTTTACCTCCCTTTTTTGACATGTTGGGGATAAAGATTATGCCAAAAGGCCCAATATTTTTGTAGGCCATCTTTTTCTTAATTTTGTGGTCAAATTTTCTCACAATTCAAGTGGAAAGCAAATGGGTGTTCATAAGTTTTTAATACCTCATTATTTTTTTTTTTTTCATAAGCGGCATGAGTGCACTGCGCCCATGTAGGCCTATTGTATGCTTCTATTAAAGTCGCTCCTGTTTAGAGCGTAATTCCTGCGGTCTCAATGAACTATAATAAGCTTATTGGATTGATGAACTTGTTTGCCTTGGGATCAATCATCCTATCTATACCAAATAATCGGAATCTTAGTCCAGCAAACCTGTCCCACCAACAAGTAATATGATAAGCTGTTTCATCCAAAAAATACTTCATTAAGTAGACAAAGTTTACTGATTTCCATATTTAAAATGCCCTATTTTTGAGAATTTTTGTAAATATAAAAGTTGTAGCCTACGATAAAATGAAGCCATTTACAAAGTTTTAGACAGATGTTAATAGTTCAACATAAAGCGGTAGGTACCGCGGACTATAAATAGTAGAGGAAGTTACGTAATGTAATTTAATGAAAATAAAAAAAAAAAATGTTTACCTTTGACCTACAGTCTACAATATCTCCACCATTGTAAAAAGAAATATAACTAAAAAAGTAAACCACGAATATGTTTTGACATATCCATTTAGTGAATTCATTCAAGATAATTTACTAATAAATAACACTTAAGTACTGCTTACTTTTCCTTTAACATTACATTTTTGAAGAACTTTAAAAAATAAAAGTTCAACTTTTACAATAAAACTCAAACTTTATTACAAATAACGTTTTTTTGGAACTTTTATTTTAAAGATTTTTTTTTTCAAAAAAACTCCATCAAAACTATTAAAATGAAACTTTTAAAAAAGTTCTGTAAAATTTCAAGGCCAGGTTTGCTGGGATTTTTCGCCCCACTATATTTGTTGATATATTTATAATTTTTGGATTTTGTATTCTCTATGGAAAAAAGGGTGTATAACCCTCTCTCATCTTGGGACTTATTTAATGATATACAACTGATTTTTACTTTCACTTATCTATGTATGAAATATATAGTAAGTATAAGTATTGCAATCGTGAAAGTTTTTGAATCTGAGGTTTCAACGGATATACACGTTTTGAGGTCCCCTGAGTCCAAATAACCAAGTCCCGAAAAAATAGTCAGTGTGTATGTGAGAACACTCTAGTTTGAAACCGAAAAGTAGTACGGAACTGATATTACATATTTAAGATAGATATATGCCTTAGTTGTGACGGCAACTTTTTCCTTAAAATTGGGTAACCGGAAGTGCCACTTTCTATCAACGCTGAAACACATTTTTACAATTTTCTCAAAAACAGCTCTAATGATTTTGATTAAACTCGGTGTATCATTGTATGATTAAGTGGTCTTTACTTTGATGTCGCTTTACAGGGCTTAAATGCCCAATGTTCATATACGTCTTCCTCTAAAGTACCTTTAATATGGTTTATTTTAAATAATCAACTATCTCTCATTATTAAAAGTTACGAAAAAATACTAAATATAACTTTTGAAAGAATTTGATAATTGAATAAAGGAGAAAAAAAATAAAAATGCTCATACAGGTCAAAAATGAATCTCTGGAAATACAGGTCAGAAGATATACTTATAATATATCATTGGAAAGCGGAGAATTTTAGAAAAAACAATATCTTATATAGAAAGTTGTAGAAGGTAACTGAGAGCGGCAAAAAAATTATAATATGTAATAATTTTGAAAACTGATAATATTTAATGTAAGTATTTAAAAGTTCCGGAAACAGCAAATCGAACTCCAAATTGAAGACAAGGCACTGTACAAGGAAAACACTGGTATTGAAATAACGCTGAAGTACATCCGAAAAATAAAATTGATAAGTTATATTTAAGAAGAACGATCGTCGCTAATGACCTTGGCAGTCGATACGACGTTAAATAACAGCAAATAAAAAAAAAAATATTAATCACATGTTTTCAAGGAAATTATCCGTACATATATTATTACAGTAAGGCTCGAAATCGGTTTTGTACCAAATATAAGCTCCTGTCATGCTCAAATACCACGAATGGGGTACCGTTGGATTCAGAATTTCACGGGGGGTTAGCGAATCTTATTCTCCACTTTTGTTTTTCTTTCTAAAATAAATAAAGTCGATACAAACATTTTGCTAGGCTTCAATACTGGAACGGTGGTAGGTCTGTTGATCGATACGGGACAAATTGGATCTTAAAGATTTTGATGCGTACAGCAAGACATTTCCTGCGTTTTTAAGCCAAAAAACGTACTATTTTCGAGATAACGCAAGGCATAGAGTTCGCATCCACACAACCTTACATTAATTGTAGTACTGTCATTGAATACATGTCTCATTTCGTCGACTTGAGGTCTCTATGATCGAGAGAGGGGGAGTTTATATTATTCATCGATGGTGTTTTTGATCGGCAAGCCATATCATCGTTAATTTTTCACCAAATCCCGAGATTGAGCCACCAATTTCGAAGGCTTCCTTCTCCTTCAGGCTGGCAAAATAGTACAATCACCCAGAAAAATTACACCCTTTTCCCTTGGTTATGCCCATAATTATATAAAAGATTACTAAATTCCCTACAAAAGGAAAAAAAAATCATCACAATCGGACAATTTTTAGCAAATATACAGCTTACTGAAATTTGTATACATGTTGGTTTCAAACAAAAATGAAGATTTAAATTAGTTTTTGTTTGCTTTGTGGATTATATTTATCGATAAAGTAACATTTGATGTCTTAATCTTTTGATAAGTTGCATTTTCTTATTTTCTTATTAATTTGGCATTTGATAAAAATATGCTGTGCGAATTTTTCGCACGGGCCTACTAGTTAAATTAAATTTACGAACTAAATGTAAACTTTAAAAAATATTTATATGTTTGTAGAAAGTATTTAAAATCTACCTAATCAAGGCAATGGCATTGTTAAAAAAACTATTTCATTGTATTTGTGTGAAAGAAGAAGTAAAATATAAAATCATTTCATGGATGTATAAAGCATATGTTTATAACCTAAAATACATTTACTGTAGTTTAGTAATTATAGATCTGATATTATATTTAACTAATTAGGTATCAACGTTTATTCTCAAAAATTTTCATGTAACCTTTAGAAAATTAAATTAGTGAATAATTTGATCAATTTTCCCTTTGTGATATTCCAACTTGTGTGACAACTTTTGATCTGTCTTTGACAGACAATGCAAATCGCTTAATTCCGTTTTAATAAACTTTGCAATGGAAAATAACAGTTTAATAATTAATAGTCGTACAATCCATAATCAACGGATCGAACAATCCATAATCAACGAATCGTACAATCCATAATCAACTGGTGATAAAATAAATTGGACTTTTGTTATTTTAATAGTATTTATGATTTGTTGCAATCTTTTAGCTTAGCTCAGTTAAAAATGCAATTCAAAAATTTTATAATAGCCCAACATGGCCAGAAAATAATTTCTATTCAAAGTTGAGCTTCAAAATTCAAAGTTGTGTGTGCGCACCAGATTTTTAAATTTAAGAAGAAAGGCGTTTTTCTTATCCTGTCATATACAGTATATAGCAAAAAATAGATTTATTTAATTTAATTCATTTTTATGTGCTATAATTTAACTCGATTAACTTTCAACAATCATTTTGTAACATTTAAGAAAGTAACTCTGATATTTAAGTTCTCATTTTTATGTTTATATGTTCAGGTATTGCAATCTCTTCGCATGCTGCTCCTCCTTAAAAGTTCTACATTGTCACGTGTTTCTCGTCAGGTTTCATATGGTACATTTGAGCTTTTGAAGACATCAGCAGCAAATATTCATTCCGCTACCGATTGGGCAATAATATTTACCCTTCTGGAATGTGTCGGAGCAGGTGCTCCTCCTCCGAAAGTCGTTTCGAAACCTGTCAGTTCTACTGAATCAGGTATGCAGTAAATGATAGTTGATAGAAACTTAAGAACCACGTTTCTTGAATTAAAATTATCCTTTACAATAGAAATGGCTTGTGAGGAAGACAAAGTAGAAGACTTAAAATTCAGTTGATATTAGGAAAACTAAATAAGTTTTCTTTCTTTTGTTATCGCTTTTGGATAAAAAATCTTTGTACCTAATTTATTGCAGAAATGTTAATTCTTAATATAGAAATGTTAATCTTAGATATGGCATCATTCAGGCTTGAGATTTATTAGAAATTACTATAAGCTATTTTACTAATAATTTTCATGTCTTTTTATCAAAATCTAATGTTTCATATTTATATATGTCGTTTTTCAAACAAATTACTTAAGCAATTTCACTTATTGCTACTGTTAGTGCAACAGGTCATATGTAAAAATGTTTCCATTTTTATGCTATTTATAATAAAGGTGACATTTTGTAGTCTGCAACTGCTACAAATAGTCTGTTACTATAGAAAATAGCAGAGAGAAATAAAATATTAAATTACACTAATCAATCTTGAAGAAATGATCAGTTTTTATGCTCTCCTGTAAAAAAATTAAATTTTTCCATACAAACCTTTGTACAAACAGTAGTGTTATGTTAATTTACAAAAAAAAAATTTATAGTATAGTGAGTTCACAAGTAGTTAAGGAATCCTGTATATTATACACAAAATTGTTTTTCTTTTAATGAGATCAATGATTTGGCAAATATATTGATAATTAAGTATTTAAAACATTTCATTAACTCAGATTCTATAATTAATCGTTAATCTATTAGCAGGCGCCCGCTCGGAAGGAGAAGTGCAGGTGGACAGCGGACTGGGTAATGAAAGGGGTTATACTTCTGATTCAGAGCTAAGCAAAGCTGGTAGTGTTCCTTTATCACCTAGTCTGAGTCCAGAGGCTCCTCTTAGCAACACTCCTACAGGCTGGATTCTGGTATTGTATATATTTTAGTCAAATATTTCTTATTTTTAATTTATTATTCATTAACTCAACATGATTGATAGCTTTAAGCTGTTTTTTATACAGAATAATAAATGATAGTTTTTTGTCTCCGTTAAGTATTGAATAATTTAAGTTGAAGAGAAACAAATTTTATAGAATTAACAGAAAGTCTCACTATAAAGGTATTGGTAAATAATTTAAGGATAAACCTCTAAGCTCAAATGTTACCTTCTGTTATTGAAGTAACTATCAACTTTCAAACTATTACCCACAATTAAAAAAAAATTAAAACAAAGTGAAATGTTTAAGAAAAAAAAAATCAAGGTACAGTGGACTCCCACTACTCCGAAGCAATCCATAATCTGAACAACTCTTTTAAGAAAAAAATTGAAGATTTGATTTTATATATCTAGTATATATACATTCCATAAAACCATATTATCAACACCTTATGTTCCTAGGCTTAAATAATCTAATAGGGTGTATAAAAATAAATTACCTTTTTTCAACCAAATTATTTCTTTGATGTAAAGTACAATTATAATAAGTATAGTCCATTGTTATCTACTTTCATTAGCCAATTGCTGGATCCATCACTGATACCATTCTTTGTGATGGTCATCAAATATGGATTATATGGTGGATGAGGGAGGAGTTTTTTAGGCAAGGATTTTTCAATAAATTTTCTCAAATTTCTAATCTCTTAGCCGATTGCTGAGGAGTAAGTTCGTGAGGGACCAGTCTACTGCTCTTTTTCACCTTCCCCATGGAGAGTAAGTGGTGACTAACAGTATCTTTCGACACACCACACTGGTTGCCCAGAGCCCTTCTTCCTTTCTAACATTGTCCCTCCACTGCTAAATTTTTCAAACTAATGCCGCACAGTGCGCTGGTCAAGGACACCTTCCCTTTCATATTTAATAATTTCATGAGTTGCTTCAGCGGCTTTTAAATTATGATAATTTCGTAGGACACTCATGTTTTTTCTTTGAAACAAATAACTAAACTGAGGCTTTTTTGAAGAAGTCGAACGGGATTAAACAAGCTTAGAGAATGCTCTAAAGGGATTATTAAGTATTGATAAGTAATAAATAGGATTAAAATATTTACAATCCTTTCATCATCATCATGTGTGGCACGACATCCCGTTACCGAGACTGGGCCTCCTCCAAGAGCCTCCGCCAGTTGGTTCTGTCTTCTGCTGCAGCTCTCCAGTTCCGTACACCAAGCAGGGTTCTCGCATCATAGGCCACGTTGTCCAACCATCTCGTCCTCGTCCTTCCTACCCGTCTTACGAGATGCAGCTCCTCCATCATTATTTTCTTTGGTATTTCAACGGCGCTCATTCTGGCCACATGCCCTGCCCACCTTAGTCTGGCCAGTTTAATATAGGTAACTACGTCGATGTCTGTATAGAGAGAACTGAGCTCCCTATTTTTTCTTTTCCTTCAGACATCACCCTCCTTTACTGGACCATAAATCCTTCTGAGGACTGAATTACAATTTACAATCCTTTGAAATCTTGAATTTGATAAAACGGTAATTATTTTTTTTACACCCTAATAAAGTTAAAAATACTAATCGTTTTATTTGAAATAAAAATTTATGTTCATAATTAAATTTGGAAGAGTATTTATTTTCTCAATTGCTATAATTAATTAACTCAATGGATATAATTAATCTTTTCATTAAATTAATCAAAAATTAAATTAAAAGTTATTTTCAGAAAGGCTCTTACATCCTTGAGCGATACACTATGCCTACGATCCTGCTCTCAAAGTTTTCTCTTAAGTTTCTTAAATACGATTTTTATGAATTTTATTAATAAAGACCATTTTGTGATTCCTTCAGTAATCCAATTTAATCTCTAATACAGAAAATACTGAGTAAGTAGTTTGACTTCTTGACAAAAGTTTTCAAATACTGGCAGATTCAATGTAAGAGGGACCTTTCAGACCTAAGCCCCCTTTAATGCAAAAATATCTTTTTTTTTTCATTGCTCCAGATTTTCTTCTATAAGTGATCTGTGATAAATACTTAAACAATCACAAAATGTTATATTTTTTAATTATAACACATTTACTTCAGCTACTCAATTTAAGCACATGTCGAAAAAATATATGAAAATTTGATCTCTAAAAGCATTATGATATCTGTAATTACCATAAAAAAAAAGTTAGCTGTTTAAAAATTAAATCCTGGACCCCTCCACTGGTCAGATGTTTCACTTTTGAGACCAGGCTCTCCGTCAAATGAAATTATATTCCCTTGTATTGATTGGGATTTATTATCAAAAAAAGCTTTATAAAAGTGTTATTTATATTAGAAAATTATTTATTAATGATTTGATTTTGGTTTGAGGCTCATTTGGAAGGTATTTATTATTACTAATAAATTATAACTTGAGAGAATTCATTAATTTAATTATTATTCAGCATTATTATTAACTAGAATTTTGTTTATTAATTATAACTTAATTATTAAATTGTGATTTATTATTTTTTGGTTTTAATTAAATCAGGTGGGCCGAGAAGGTGAAATACAACCGGTAAGCTGTGTGAGGAGAACAATGTTGCCAGAATTGTCTCGCTATGATCCCTTATCGATGGTGAAGTGTGTCGACAGTTTGTCGTTTCTAGTCAGGGATGTTGTTCATATCACGCCATACAATTTTCATGATTGTATTCGTTGCATAAGGACATTTGTTGAAGCAGCAGCTAATACAGGTAAAATAAATTAAGTTAATCAAATTATTAAAATAAAAAATCAAGTATTTAGCATTTTCGAATTGGAAATATTATAATTTGGCAAATATTCATACCTATGTAATTATAACATCAAATCATTAACGTATTTTCTTCTCATGTTTCTTTTTATTTAATTTTGAAATCTCTAATAAATATAAGAAAATCACCTAGAATCTTAAATATCTAATGTTTTCTTGTATTGATATGGTTAGGATATTTAAAATTGTATGCTAAAAACCTTTTATTTATTAAAACAAATCTGGTAAATATATTTAGGGATTTGTATTGCTTTAATAGTTGATCATTCTTGGAAGTAAAAGTCAGCAACATTACTATTGTTCCTTCCAATAATTTTTAGCCAATCTTGTTTTATCATTTATAATTTCAGTGTTCTTATTAATATGCTGTGTTCACACTTATAATCCTTTTTAAGTAAAGAAATATTTAACATTCATCCATACGTTTTGAATAATTACTCTGTATTTATAGTCTTATTCGGTAATTTTTATAATTTCTTCTCTATTATTTTCTCTGGCAATTAGATGACTTTGACTATAATATCTTCGTGAAAACACAAATCTTACTTGAAAAATAAAGAAACAATTAAAAGATGTAAGTTTAACAACAACCTTCTTCATTCATTAAGTTAGAAGTCAACTGGATGCTGTTAAACATTCAGGTCATTAATCAGGAATTGGGTGGTACTTGATTATTTTGTTACATTTGTTGATCATTACTAATTTTCTGTATTTCACTTATCAAGAAATAACTTCTTTTTTTCATTCTGATTTTTATCTAACAGAATTAACTTTGTTTTTATTTTTGACATTATTATTACTTTTAATTTTCCCATCAATTTATTTATAAGAATCTTCTATATTATTATTGTTGCTATATTTTTATCAGTTGAAAGGAAAAGCAGAAAATCTGGGAGGGATACAGCTAGGCAGGCTAAGAGGAAAAGTACAAAAAGGAGAGAAGAACGAGGACTCAGCCCCACAGGAAGTGCCTATGATGCAGATGAAAGTGATCCTGAGGATTCGCCTGGTTATCAGCAAGTTTGTATTCAGGTATTTTGTATTATTTATTATAGTTAAATAAACTATTATATATTTATGGAAAGGGAAAGTGAATAGCAACTAGAAAGTCTAATTTCTGAAATTATTTTTAAAGTTATTTACAATGTACTAAGTATCAAGTGTTCCAAAACAGATACCTATGCTGAAATAGAAAACTTTATGTACATGCTATTAGATATTGAACTTTGTGTTTTCATTGATGTAAACATTAACATTCATATTAAATTTTGTTGAAAGTAATTTTCTTGAGCATTAAGACGGTCTCGGCATCTTTCTTCAACAGCAACAGTGGCAGAACAGCACTGGATATGTGTTACTGTTTCACAAGATCCGATTATCCTTGTTCGTAAGGAATTAAGGTCATTGACCGTACTTGCATAGACTTTTTGTTTAATGTCACCCCAAACAAAAAAATCCAGTGGTGTCAGGTCTGGAGAGAGTTCAGGCCAAGCCACTGGTCCTGCACAGACAATCCATTGATTGGGATAATTAAAATTTAGCAATTGTCGTGGACCTCTTCTGTAATGTGCACGACAACCATCTAATGTCCCTTCTCTAATAAAGCCACATGTCCCTTCTCAGTTGAAGGTGAATAAATAGGTTTTATTTATTTCATATAACGTAAATAATTCACAACAACGAAAATATTTAGGTGTGAATATGTCCTAAACAAAACGTTTACAGAAATTTTTTTCTTGTTTTGAGGTCTTTAGTTCATATTTTCAGTTTGGCCACTTAACTCTGAAACATCCTGTATATTAACTTAAAATAGTAACATAAATTTTAGTTTGAAATCATATACAATAAATTTTTCCTTGGCTCCTATAGCTCAATGGCAAGCAAGAACCTTCGGACATAGGTCTAATATTTTTCAACCTACTATCACAAAAAAAAGTTTCATTGAAATTGGTGACACTACGTCTGTTACCATCCCTATTTTAGGAATTCCATCTTTGATATGAGTGGCCTCATATCAAAGGCGGAGAACATCTGTCATTTTCTGAAAGTGGAGAAAAAGTCAATTTTTGTTTTATAGATACAACTCAAACTGTTTCGGATGATTTTATTTTAAAATGTTGAAGTTGAAAAAAATCATTAGAATTGGTTTAAATTGAAGCGATGTTACAAAAATTGGCTTTTTTTCAACTCTTTATAATTGACAGTTGTCTTTGAGGCCACTCATATGATCTTATGATTAGCTAGTTTCTAATTAATTACTTCTGATGCATGTTTTTAAAGATAACTAGCGAGAGTGAATCTCTGGCAGCCAGCGCATAACTCGTACTGTTGGATATCTTATTCTTATTGTTACAAGTGTTTCCAACTTCAAAACTTTCATCCAAGAAATATCCTTCCAATTCTTTCTTTCACTATCATCTCAGAGTAAAAATATTTGGTATAAAATTAATATTATCAGCTTTTGTAAATAAATAAAATAAGCTGGAAGCTGAGTGGGATTGAGTCTCCCTACAGTTGGCTCTGACTTCTCTTCCGATCCTCACCACAGCTCTCAGACGCACTTTTATTTCAATATTTAAGCTAAGTATGAACCTTTTCTCACTGTTTGAATAGTTCAGTATCATATGAGATTTGAGGGACTACGTAATAATATATTACGTAGAGAAATATATTATTTAAGACAGCAATTCTATCCTACGTAATTTATTAACAATAGAAAACCTGGTTAATTTTTTACACCTGTAATAGGAATATATATACCATATTGTTATTTTTTAAATTCTTTGAATGTGTATTTGTTTAATTTTTTAATAGTCAATACTTTTTATTTATATTGTTATATAGCTGTATTTTCTTCTTTTCTTTCTTCTTTTTAATATTGTTCTTTATTTACTTTATTATCTTTGAAAAAAAAAAACATTTCTCTTGTTTGTTTATTATTTAACCAAACCTCCTGTAGTTGTATATGTTAAAAAATGAAGAACTTTTTCATTCATTCATTTATTCTATATTTGAACACTTTTTCACAATTCAGATAGTGCAATCTCTACTCATTCTTGCATTCTTTACCACTTTAATTCTATTGCACAACAAATGTATGCATTTTTTCCCATGCAAGTTAACAATTAAACTTTATTGTAAAAAAATATGTTGAACTACCTTGATAATAAGGGAAAGAAAGTACATTTCATTCTAATATGATATATATAAATGACTTAACTTGTTACACTTACATTTATCGTGGAGAGACCAGTGATAATTTGGCAATAAATTAATCCCTTTTATATTTTTTAATTTTACAACATTTTTTATTATCTTCAGATTAGTAATCTAATTGAATATGCATCTGAATTCATTATATTTTTCATATTTCAATAACAATTTTCTTAAATATATATAAACAGTTTCTAATTTATATTTATTTTTATAGATGAAACAGCTTAATAATATTATATGATAAAATGTTTCTTTCACTCAAAATTTCTTAATAACTAGAGAACAATTTTAGTTTGCTTGTGACTTTTTCTAAATGATCATGGTTATTTAACTTAAATATTACTATTTATAAACACACCTTTGTAACTTTGATTCCATAACTGTCTTAATTTATAGGTTCTTTTTAAAAGTTAAATTGAGTGGGACGTTTTCGACAACACAGGTAGTCTAAAATTGATATTTTTATATAGCTTTCATCTTCTGGATCATTTAAAGTTGTGGGTAGGAGGAGGTCGTCTTTCTTTGAGTCTTCTTCCCATTTTGCTTCTCCTGAACTCTTATCATTGTCTTCTTGTAAATCGTCATCTTGCTCATTCTGCAGAGGGGTTTCAGTTTCCATGAATCTATTTAAAATAAATCATATTTATTTACTGAAATAGTGATTTGCAATAGTAGGTAATTCTCAAATTATTTTTTTAGCTATATTTCTATATTGGAGTTCATTTTATATGTTTAATAAGTTATAGTATACACCAAAATATTCCTTAAGTTAAATTTATCAATTGTAAATTAAAGAAGCTTTTTAATAAATTCATAAAAAGTAGGAGAAAATTTAAGAAGGTTCTATTGACAAAAAAGAAATTGCAGCAATAGAAAACTTTGCTAAACTTCAGATAATGGCTAATAGATAAAAGTAAGAATATTCCTTCAAGATTAATGTAATGATGTTTTTGATTTATAAGTTTTATATTTTAGGTAATAATCAACAGTTGTTTATTGCAAGAATTATTTCAGAATCCAACTTACATATTTTAATTAATAAAGTCTCACTACATTAATTTATATTTCATCAATGTTTTGTCTTGAAAATTGAAATTGATGCAACCAGTTATGAAATAAATTAAATAAAAATTGAAAACTTTTTTTAAGATTGTAGGCTGATTGTCATCATAATCTATTTATATTTATTAATTGTTTGATTAACTTTATTAATACTATTTACATTTAAAATTTTATTCAATTACTAATGCTTGTTGTATGAAGATTAAAATTTATATGATTTTAAATTTTTCCTAGTTCTCAATTTAGATAAACTGAATGGAACACTTACATTTATGAATGATTTCCTTTTTCTTCTAATAATAATTTTGAACTACGTGTTGTGTAATATAAACATATTTGAAAAATCTTGATTGCATCTTATTTTAGTAGGCATTTTCATTATAATCGGCTGGTTATAGTATATTTCAGATTATATTTATCACAAAAATTATCATATAATAGACTGAACATATGATGTGAATAAATTGCTTTAAATGGACATGTGTTCTAATTAAGCTAACTAAATATTTTTAGTCAAATTATCTGAAGGTTAAAATCATAAACCTATCAAACCAGTTTTACCAGTTAGTTTATTAAATTCTATTAAGTAATCTTGCATTATTTGTTATTCTAATTTGTGTGAGAAGTAGTAGATTTAGTCTGTGGCTCTGCCACTGATTGAATAATCTTTCTATGCCTAATTTGAATCAGTGCATGCTGCCCCAACACGGTCAACCAATGTTGCGCAACTGTAAAAGTTATCCATTATTTTTAGTGGGCATAATTATCTATAAAAAAATAATTCAAATACCAAAACAAATCATAGATATAACAATATTTTTAAAAACAAACCAATAATGTCCAACGCAGCAGTATGCCGGGATAGAGGGAATTAGTCCAGGAAATGGCCCTTCTGGGTTTATTTACCAACCAGTGACGGCTATCTAGATGCTGTCACAACCTTGTACTAACCAAAATGAAAGTGTCATGGCTCATTCAAAGACTCTCCTAGACTCTTTCAGCCTCCATTCTAGCTTGAAAAATATTACTGAAGGCATTGATACTAAAAGAGAACAATACAAACTGAGGAAAAAGAACTATTCACATCCGTATTTAACAGATTTGCATTATAATTGTAATAAACTGAGGTAAGGTTTTTGAACTTTGCAAATTGTATGATTATATATATATATATATATATATATATATATATATATATATATATTATATATATATATATATATATATATATATATATATATATATATATATATATATATATATATATATATATAAATATATATATATATATATATATATAGTTCAGATATATATATATATATATCAGTTTTATATATATATATATATATATATATATATATATATATATATATATATATATATATATATATAATCTTCTTGAGAAACCATTAATGATGGCCAGTAGCCCTAGAAACAACATTGGCTAAACCTTTAAAAACTGTAATTAAGAACAGATTTTAGATGTTTCCTGTAACTTCTTGCCAATTTTCATTTTAAAACATTTAAGAAAATAAGCCCATATCTTTCACCTTTCCAACTAAGTCTGCTGCTTTTCTCTGAGAATACTAGATTGAGTTTTTATATTTCAACCCAGTTTTATCTATAACCAGGATAACAAAAAATTATCCTTTGAACTTGCCATTACTATCAAGTGACTACAGGTTTCATACGCCTATGAATCAACCATTTATAAGGAAAATATATAGAGTTTTGGTTAAATTGCACTTGTTATGATGAATTTGATCATTCTTTTTAATTATTTCAGCTTTTGGAACTGATGCATACCCTTCACACAAGGACAGCTCAGATCTTTCGATGGTGGGCTGAAGAGACAGGACAGAAAGAAGTGGCCAACCCCTCTTACTGGACTCCAGGTTGGTGCCCTCTTCTCCAAGGCATATCCAGGCTTTGCTCACACCCTAATAGAGCTGTAAGACATTTTAATTTATTCAAGATTCACTTCCTACTTGGTAGCAAACATTGAAAACTATTATTTATTTCAGGTTCGGATGTCAGCAATAACCTATCTGCAAAGAGCGCTTCTCATGCAAGATTTACAGTCCCTCTCCGGAGAGGAATGGGAAGAATGTTTTACTCAAGTGCTCTTTCCACTCCTGTCCACTCTATTATCTGTTAATATTCCAGCGATTGAAGAAACAAGGATAAGGGCAGCCACTGTACTATCCAAGGTATTGTCTTGTTAGAGATATTTGAAACTCCAAAAAAGTTACCTTGTTAAATGTGACCTATCCTTGAATTTCAATCCGAAAGGAAAATGTTTATGTGATAGTTGCTTTATTGTTTTAATTGCTGTATTTTATCAAGTTATATGAGTTAAAAATATACTTATTTATGATAAAAGGTGTTCCTGCATCACTTGTCTCCTCTGCAAACCCTTCCTAGTTTTGCACAGCTATGGCTGACTATACTTGATTATATGGATAAGTATATGCACGCAGACAACAGTGACCTACTTGTAAGTTTATATTTTCATAAACATGAAACACAAAAATTTGTTTTAAAATTTTATATTTAATGGAGTTGGGTCTTGCAGTATGAGGCTATTCCTGAATCATTAAAAAACCTCTTGCTTGTAATGGACTCGGCTGGTGTTTTCAATGGATTAGACGGGCGCAATGAGATTTGGGTCGTAACTTGGGATCGAATTAGCTCATTCCTTCCCAACCTTCAGGCAGACCTATTTAAAGATCATCTACCAGGTACTTTTAGTATCTTAGTTATTTCTAAAAAAAAATTATGCATAAAAAAAAAATACCGTACTGTACAAGAAAACAATTAATTTAAAAGTTTTAATCATTATTAAAAGTTGTAGATGCTAGTTCACTTGAAACAAAAGAAGCTTTAGAAACATCTAAAAGTGAAACAGAAGTCGTTCAAACCGAGCAACCAACATTGCAAAGGCCTCCAGGCTCTCAACAGTCATCTCCTCTACCTCCGTTAATGCCTAAGTAATTACTATTAATTAAGGATTAAGACCTTATCAACAAGTTTTTTATATAAAGCTTAAATGAATTTCATTAGAATTATAGACACAGATTTTTAATTTTCATTGGAGATAGCTAAAAATGATATGAGTATTACAAAGGAGGAATACTCCTTTTGAATAGGTATATCACTTGTCCCATTAAATATAAAGAATGAGAAAAAAATAATTAGGTTTGAGAAACATAACTTGAAATTCACAAAATTATACTTAATCCACAATTCACATTTAGCAAAAATATATGTTATAAATAATATATAATATATATATTATATATTATATAATATATAGTTTATATTGTTTTCACAAGCAATGCCTGATATATTAAAGTGATTGCAAATCACCAAACATTTTCTGAATTATTATTTGACTATTTTGGATCTCATACTTATGATGACATTTTTCAATGCTTTTCAGACCTGGAGAAGCTGTTGAAATATCTGGACCTACGACTAACAATAATGTTGGTTCACAGAATTGGCAACCTCCTGCTCCTGTCTACCCTCATCTTGAGCAGGTATTTTTTTTTTATTAGCAATTTGTTTGGCTTATAAATAATTAAAACATTAATTCAGAAATATTTATTAGTTAATCTAAATTTCTCCATTTGCTTCTGTATAATTCTATCAATCAACAGTAGACTTTTAATCTACATGCTTTAGAATTTCCATCATAAAATCATTTAATACGTAGTGTCTTCTAGATGTGTATTTTGGAGCAGCTTCATGTGATTCTGTTCACCTTTTAATTCTGTTCTTGTTTAGTTCCACTCCTTGGTCTGGTGATATCTCGTAACCAAGTGCTAAACTTTATTGGCTAACTAGTTTTATAAATTGTAAAATGGTTTCCATTATTTATTTTTATCATTTATTACTTTTTTTTACAGATGGTTTCAACTCCTATCGGCCCAGCAAGTCATCTCCCAGTTTACTCTGGATTTGCGAGTATGCCACATCAACCCCCTCCCCCGTCGGCCCAATTTTTCTATCAGGACATGGTAAAGTTAAACAAAAAATTTGTTGTTAAGTGTAAAGAATAGATTACTGATAAAAGGTATATAAAAGGCATTGACATAGAAAAGGTAGTTATGAAGTCATGAAAAGGATATTTTACAGGAGAAGAAAAAAAACTGTTTTAGCACATTGTTTTTAACTTTAATCTTTTTAATTATTATTTAGTTGTTATTTTGCTTGTTTATTTTTTGTTTGTGTATATATATATATATATACTGCGGATGTAGTCTTACCTCACTATAATTATTGTCCAAGTGACAGAATATTATATTTCTCAATAAATAAAAAAACAGCTGTTCATAGAAACCAAACCACTTTCAGTTTTGAATTACTCCTCTTTCTATACCATTAGCATGACTAAATACTACCTTTTCTATAAAAAAAAAATATATATTTTTTTTGCTTACTACCTTTTCTATGCCAATGCCTTAATTATACTTTGGATAACTTTTTATTGAAAGTTTATAATCTAAAAAATAATATTTCATTGAAAAGTAATTCGGGTTTACTTTAACAATATTATAATAGGTTATTATTTTTTTAGTCATATTATTGATTTAGAACAATTCGTACTATATTTTTGCTTATGGGAAGTTAAAAGGAAATTTTTATTCTAAAAACAAAGAATATTACAATATATTGTATTATATTCCCTTTACACATGATTATCAAGACTCTACTGTAATATAGTGTAGCTTACAATAATAGTTTCATTTTATTAATTATTTTGTTTTCTTTTAGTCTTCTTCAAGCCCGCCTAATATGATCCAAAGTTCTGAGCAACCTGCAGGTATACTAAGAATCATATAGAGCAATTATCAAAGTAATTTTTTATTTTTTTTTTATTTATTTATTTTTTTTTATTAATTTCAATACTTATTATTTTATTCAATATTCAGTCCATTATTTTCTTTCTACTGAACCATTTAATTTCAGCTGGAAGTTCTTTACTTTTAGCATCAGCGGGAATGGAACCCCCAAAGCTTCCCGTGATATCTCCTCCGACTTCTTCATGAGTTCTATCTAAAAAAGAATTTGTGAATATTTTAAATAATAATTGTTGATCAATTTTGTAAAACTTACATGTGTTCCATTCAGTACAAAATGTATTATTTTTGTGCCTGATGCTTTTCGTCTGCGTGTATGTCTAACTCATTCAATAATTGTATTTTTTTAATATTTAAAATTCGTCATTTATAAATTATTTTTAATATCACTGTTACTGATTGCTCATATGTTGAAATAACAAATTGTGGATTTCATTCTATAATGATTGTATTAACTTGTTTAATGCCTTATGTTCATTTGGACTGCTTATAGCCATTAAGTATTTAAAATTTTTATTTAATTTTACCTCATATTATTTTATTTGTCTTTATAAAATTTACCTTTTTAGACGTAGGTAAGTTTGATGAAGATGTAGATATGTAGTTAAATAGCTATGAAGTTGATATATTTTAATGTTAGTTGTTTTATATGTTACTGTTTATAGTTTGTTATATACTTTCCTAGGCTTAAAATATAAAGCCTAGTTTGTTGATTATTGTTATTCTATATTAATATTTTCTTCATTGTTAGGTGGTACAAATATGAATTACCTTCAAAATGGGCTACGATGTCTCTCATTTGTTATTCTTGCAAATAACTGTGTTGACTATCAATTAAAATTTTCTAAAATTAAAATTATATTGTAATTAAATTCATTAAGAGTTACATTATTTTTAAATTAAAGGTATTTATAGTAGTAGCACATTCCTATTATAGTAAATATCTATGTATATAATGAAAAATTATTTATTGAAAGAGTCATTCAGTTGGGTCGAACTTTGTAATTTATTTTAAGTATTAAATTTAAATACTTGTAGATAATTTCTTTATAAGTGAATGTTTGTTTTATTTTTTATATATTTGTTAATAGTGGTCGAATCATTATGTAGGTATTCTGTACTGAAATTCTTTCTCAACTTATCAATGCAGTTATATTAATAATAATATCTTCTAAATGGCATGTAATCAGTATTGAGTAATTACTGACTGTAAATAAATTCTTCTTTATTATCACATTAGTTGTTTTACTCTATGTAAAGTAGACGAGCACCTACAAAAATGTATAATCAAATGAATAATATATATTAAAAAAAAAAAAAAGCTTGTGTTACCTAGTTATCTCCTCCTCTGCTATGTTTTCATAATTTTATTTAAATTTAAACTTCTTTTCTTTTTTAAAAACCATTTTTATTTTTTTCTAAATAACTAAGAATTAAGGGATGTTTCATATTTTTTTATTTTAATACAATATTATTTTTTTTATATTTTAAGGATATTGGTATACTTTTGTGTTCTATTGTTTATTGCAATCTGGAGCTTAGTCAGATTCCTTCACATTACCACTGGGTTTTGAATGGAAAAATTCTTCTACTTCTTTTTCAGAACCTCGTATAGAGAATTTAAGGTTTGTCCCCATAAATAGTGAACCAATGGTTTTTGTTTTTGGCTCGGAAGAAGCTAATTTTGAAATGTTATTAGGATGATAGAGAAGCTCAACGCCTTCTGTGTAATGAGAAGTGTTTGGTCAGGGATTATCTTGAAACATAACTCAATTTATGTTTTGTAATACTGAGTTTGATTGGCCACACCATATATTTGTAACATCATCATAAAATTGAAATGAAATGAAAAAATAATTTTACTCTGGGACTACTGTCCCCTAAGAATAATAACAGTTACAAATTTATGGGTCTTAGTCTGACATAACAAAAATAGAAACTAATTTACTGTTAATTGTTATTTCAATTGTGCAATAGATTGAAATTAAACATTGTACAGATGCAAGTAATTTTACATGTTAAGGGAAATTTGAATGTGGAGTAGGTGTTGGAACAGGAGTTGTTAGAAGGAATTCACAAAAAAATTTTGAATCAATAGTTCACTTTCTATAATCAAATCATAATGGATTATGTCTCCATAATTTCATAATATTGAGTGCATTGCTTTTAGAACATTAGGCTGATTGTAGTGTAATCATTGTTTCTTGGGCCTAGGATTCCATTATATCCAATTTTCACCATAATTTATGAAACTTTTAATTAAATGATGGTAATACTAAATAAAATAAAAAAATTATAGAAAACTTAGGAATTAGGCTGTATTTTTAGTTACTTTTCCTGATCTATATAAGGCAAAATATAGTTGTCCTTGAGAAAAAAGAATCTTTAAGTCATTAAACATTTTCTCTAGAACAAATAGAAGTTTTTAAATTGGACTGGTAGTTTCCATAATTAATGTATTTAAACAACACCTTCAGATTTATGTATTAATATAAATTTGTTGTTTTTTATTGGACTTAATCCCTAACATAAGACACTGTTTAATCTAACTTAAGACTGAAACCACAGTTATATACAATATTTATGATGAGTACAATATCTATTTCGAAATATGATGTTATCAAATAGTTGATACAGATAATAATACATGGGCAGCAAACATTGTTTTGAGGTTAAATGTTGAAAAAATCTAGGCTATCCTGATTGGTTCTAAGCACCTTAATTCCATTCCTTATCAGCTCTTACTCTACTTCATTCACCGACCTATCCACTTTCAAACCTCTGTTGGAAACCTTGAAATAATCTTTGATCAATAACTACTCTGGAATTATCATATAACCCTGATCCGCAAACAATTTATTGCTATCCTCAAACAGTTCCTATGATTTCCTGATTCTATGCACCTAAAAACCCACCTGATCTTACTTTCCTTTCTCACTTTGACTATGGTTTCCTGGTATTCAATGACTGTCTGATAGCCAAGATATGAGACTGAAGATACTAATGGATCATTTAATTAGATTCATCTTCTGGGACCTAAGGCACTCCCATGTCTTAAGTTGGTATGCCAAGTTAAAGTTGCTTTATTCTATTTACCGACATCAATATTTCGTCATCTATATTAATATTTCTTTTAATCATTTAGATTCGGAGATGTGAGGGATTGGCTTATAGTCCTCTAGCACATTGTAGGAACTCTACTTATCTCTACACTGCAAGGTAGAGGAGATCATCAAATAATAAGAAGAAGACTATTTCCTGGGTTTTTATATTTTCTGATCGTTTAGGAACAAAAACCCTCCTTACATCCTCAATATGTTCACCCTTTGTTCCTCTGTTACTCTTATAACAACCCAAGATTCAAACTCACGAACTTGTATATTTTCTTATTTATCACCATCATTAACCTCATTTAAATATTAAATTATTTATCGATCTCCTAAACTATCAATTTTCTTCACGTTTGTTGGAATATATTTTTTTTTTTTTACTTTATTCATATGTTCATTTTAATTTTTATTGCTTTACTTTACTACTGTTTCATTGTTATTTTTTATATTGTTTATTGGTACAAACAATTACACATTCATATATAGTATATATCTATCTGTATAAATGTATTTATGTATATATATATATATATATATATATATATATATATATATATATATATATATATATATATATATATATTATATATATATATATATATATATATATATATATATATAAAATCTAAAATAGAAGTTGGTTGGAGTTTTCAGTCAGTGAAAATACAAAGTAAAAATAAATAAATTATATTAATTATATTTATTTTCTCAACCACTTAACCAACTTCTCTTCAATATACCTGCTACAGTCAGCTATCAATCCACTATTATAAATAATTTCAAAAATTTATTTACTTGAGCTAATCTTTTATTTTATAATCTGAAATCATAATTTTGTAATTTAATCATTTCATAATTATTTTGTGAAGTCAGATGTTTCTGGAATTATACATTTATATTATTCTAAGGGGACTAGGTGTCTCAAAAGAAAATTTAATTCTTTCATTCATCAACAGTCTATTTTTTCTAGCTCATGTGAATTGATCATGAAGAAGTACATATTATGAAATAATAGAATCAGGAAGAGGATCTGTAATCATACAAAACTGAATCACTTGTGAAAATGAAAATAAGCATAACAATTTAATTTTTTTTAAGGGAAATTAATGAGCGGTATATTATTTTTCATATAAATAATTTTATTTCATAGTTTTTAACAGGATAGAACATTAAAAAAAACTTCTTATATTTTTTAACATCCATGGCAGATGGTATTTAATAAATATTTAATATCGCATTATAGGAAAATGAAAAACAAAATAGATAATACTGACTGATGGGAACAAATATAAAGGACTAGTTAATATTATTATGCCTAATATAATCGTTACAATTCTTTTCTGAATTTAAATTGTCTTTTCTTTTTTTAAGAACATATTCCCAATACCTATTATAATATTTGAAAAAACTTGAAAATATTACAGCATTTAAATGTTGAACAAGTTGTTCCTTTTGGCGATTGAAAAAGTAAAACAGTATACACATTTGTGAAAGCAACATTAAGTGCTTTAATTATGCTTCATTATTAAGTATTATTTCTATAAGTTCTTTAATTGCATTTTGTATCCTATATCTTGATCAGAGTTATCAAACATAAAATAAAAAAAAAGAAAGATACTAAGTACTGTTTTATTTTTTCATTCCTATTGTTTTGTATCATTTTCATCATTCATTGCTACATTTTTCAGAAATTTTACATTTTTATATATTTTCTCATTTTAATATCAATGTCATTCTTTCTATGAATATGTCTTATAACTTTGATTCCATATATACATATATGTGATTGTCAAAATTTACATCTTTCACATTTTATACATACATGACCTTAATTTATATATTTTGCTATATTAAATAATTTAAGTAACGAAATATTGGCAAGTTTTATCACATTTGTTTTACTCGCTAAATAATATTAACTTTTTGGCACAAACACAAGGATAGAAATAAACAAAAGGAAAGGGCTTCCTTCAGGGGTAGGTATTTCCGAATTTCCTGAAATAAAAAAAAAATTATCAGCACTGTTCATTATGAATTTTAAATTATCACTCAAAGTTATGAAATGAAATACAATTTGAATCAATGAATGAATAAAAAGGCATCAAACCCCCCAAAAAATTTATATTTGGAACAATTACAGTTAATTTTTGCATTTTTTTTTTAAAGTTAAATTTGGATTAATATTAATAAACAAGATATTAATAACATCGCAAAAATTGATCACTATAATCATAAACACATGACTCCCAAAAAAATTTAAGAACAATTATTTGATTTATTTAAACATAAAAGCTCAAAGAGAATAAATGTATTTCGGAAAAGTGTAGCTGATAGCTTCAACAGAATAATATTTTAATTATGCAAAGGATTAAGTTCTTAAATATAAATTTAAATTTTGTAGCCAGAACTTGAGCATAAAGTTGAAAATATTTTGTTCAAATTTATCAAAAGTTGAAATTAACTACTACCTTCTTTATATTTAAAGACATTTTATAAAGATCTAAGTGATTTATGATAGCACTACTTTCAAAATAAAAATGCACTGTTGGAATTTATTGCTCCTTAAACTTTAAGCATTATGAGTTTTAGTGAATTTCTAATTTAATAAATTTTAAGAATGGCGCTTACATGAGCTTAGGGATAAGGGTGATCCCTCCTGCAATAAAAACCCAGCTGCTTACATTTTTCACAAAGGTGTTGTGGATGAACCTTGGACTGGTCAGATACATCCAAGCCATCAGGTTTTTCCAATGGTCTCTGCAATTTTGATCAAGTTAATTTTAAGTATTTTAATTATGTAATAGCTAAAAATATGTATTTATATTTTACCTGTTTGTGTGGGTATACATTTATGTGACACTTAATGCATTGCTGACCCATATTCGCCCAACTATTTCCTGACATCCACTTCCTTTTACATTTAGGGCATTTATATTCGCCAAAACATCTTTTCTTCCCTTGGTATGGTGTAAGTCCTTCACCTTTTGGTCTCGCCTGTTAATTCAATATATTTTTTAGTACATGAATAACATTTTGATTCACCGATTAAGTGCATATTATCAATAAATGGATAAGTAACGTTTTACTAACTAAGGGAACAATATTTATATTAGGTGTAGTAGAATAAAAATAAAGAAAACCATCTTTTTCTATATCATGAAAACTCATTCTACTAAATGCTGCTACTGTAATAAGATGAAAAATGCGTTATTTTTCAAACTTTTTTTATACTGATTATTTATTTATTTTTATTTACATCAGCATTTTATATCTATAAATATTTCTATATTTTTTAATGGTATATGAAATTACGAAATATTTAATGAACTTTCGTTTTATATATATATTTTTTTTGCTCGAAGAGAGGTTGGCAGCAGTTGAAATAGAGCCGCGAAGCAGTAATGCAATTTTTAGTCGAATATATTGAGTTATTTCTTAATCTTCGTTGTTTTTGTCAGTGTTATTCTTTTTTTTTCACTAATGAGGCATTTCTATAGTTTGAGTTTCCGTTTTGAGGTATGTAATCTTTTGTGGCTATCGATTATCTAGCAATTATACATTTTTATTAAAATTATGCTTTATTACACAGTACTGCAATGGCGAGAGTGAATGGTTTGAACAACAGTTTCCAGCATCTGGGCCTTTTCCATTTAAAGTACAACGCTCTCAAAACCCAAGTTAGTGTTTAAGAATATTAATTTAAATTTAAATAATTCTTTAATACCGTTAATAACGTTATCTTATGATACAATTATTTTTGTTTAAATACATATATAGCCTTTAAGGCTAACTAGACGTTATAATACAATATCTAAAAAAATCTCACTTACACAGATATGTATTCAACAATTTTTTTTTTGTCCTACAAGAATTAGAATAACTGCCCGAGGGCGAACTTCTGCACTGTGTTGAAGCTAAAGTTAGGCTAAGGTTTTTAAATTCAGCGCTAAGCTCATCGACTGCAATGGATTCGTCTATAAACTGTGTGAAACGAAACCAGCAATGACCTCAGCACTGGGCTTAGGATTTTCCCAATTTAATTTTTTCCCTAACCCTCCAATATTACTTTTAAAATATTTATTAACATATTCGTAAATTAGAAGGTTACGATATCATCTTTCAAAAATATGTGAATATTTTGTAATAACTAATATCGGAGGTTAGGAGAAAAAACAAAACGTGTGTTTCAACGTAAAGGTACTTGGACTCCCTTCGGGCTCCTAACTAATCGTGGTCTAACTATAATTTATTAATTAACGTGTATGGAAAAAAATACATTAGGATTCAAGGAGTAGGGATTTTCGGGTGAAGCTTCCATACAATGGAGAATTAATTATTGCTTCCTCACTACCGAAGGTAAAAAAACACACAAAAAGTGTTTGGACGCCATTTTGTGGCAGTTCGTTCACTTTTTTTTGTAGGAACATTGGCTCTTTTTTTAAATAAATTGTTACAAGGAACATAACGATATGCAATTTACAGGGATGTGGGTGAGGGGAGGTGTTCACGGTTGGGGAGGGGTCTGAATAACAGACTAAAAGCTTCCCTACCTTCGGTAGTGAGGAAGCAATAATTAATTCTCCATTTGTATGGAAGCTTCATCCGAAAATCACCACTCCTTGAATCCACTAGTGGTACTAATGTATTTTTTTCCATACACGTTAATTAATCAATTATAATTAGACCACGATTAGTTTAGTTAAATCTCAAAATTGTGTCAACTTCACTCATATTTTTACATCCCAGCTTAATTTTTTTCAGATTAATTGTTCTGACTGAAGAAAAGTATTGGTCTTGTTAACTCCGAATCAATGGATTTCCTATTTTTCCTATGGATTTTTTGTATCATCCATTTTACGAGTGAAAGCATACATATTAGTACTGTTAGTGCTAAGGTCGTATGTAAAAGTTTTCAATTTTTGACATTATGTAGTCTGCAATCGACTTAAGTAGTCTACTGCTATGGAAAATAGCAGAGGGCAATAAAATATAAAATTATGCTCTCCTGTAAAACGCTCAATTTTTACATACGACCTTTTGCACTAACAGTAGCGATTTACATATTGAGTATGCACTGGAATTATTTTTTTGAAACTACTAATCATCAAGTATGCAATCTGAAAATGCGGAACTCTTTCGAATTTCAGTATTTGCTGATGATCAAAACTCGTGAATATCAAGCCCGCTCATGTTGAGGGATTACTGAATTTCCTAAAACAGCTTCTTTCAGGAATTTTATCCTCATACGAAAAATTTTAGACCTTGTAATATAGATATTTTTTAGCAAATAAAAACGGTGAAGAAGCTATACTGACCTTACTTGGCAGACTTTTTTTCCCCATAACATTAGTATTTCAGATACGAAAGTAAGCATGTGTCAAGAAAAAATAAATAAAAACTTGAGCTGTAAAAGCTGTTTTGTTGCATTTAAAAAAAAAAAAATAATTTGTTATGCTCCCCATAACGTTAGCTCATTTTATTGACTTATTTATTTTCAACCCTGCCTCTTAGACAATACGAATAAACCATGCAATACAGGAGGGGAGACATTAACCCTCTGTTGCATTTTTAAGAAATTTACATTTTAGCTTCTTTAGCGATACACTATTTTCTTTAATCAGAGTTCAGCTTTGTCCTCTTCTCTTCTCATTGTCAACCACAGCCCTTTATGTATATGAGCTGCCTCATGTTAAAGTCGAATATCTGTCTTTCTCAGAAAGCGGAGAAAAATGTAATTTATGTTGTATAGGTTCGATTTAAGCTGTTTCTGATGGTACTGTTTAAGAATGGTCAAGTTGAATCATGAAAAAAAAATCATTAGTTTAAATTGGAAGTATTTTACAAAATATGGATTTTTCTTAACTTTTTTTAAATGACAGGCTTTGATGTGGGACTACTCATATGAAATCTAGAACAAAGGGACTTAAACCCATGTTATCATATGTATTAATGTTTATGTATATTTCATGTTATATAAATATATACGACTATTTTTGGTACAACTCAGAAATAGAGGTGTTGCCTCTCATAAATGTTTAAATTTATTACTAGATGAGGTTCAAACGTGACCGTCTGCTAGTGAAATATTGATGTAGACATAATATTTCGAATATATTATACTCTCTTGTATCTTTAAGGTTATATTCAGACTTTAGATTTATGAGCTGGTTCGATTGAAATTGGATAAGAAAAAACACGATCCCTCAAAATAAGAAATCTTTTAAACAATAATTTCGCGAAAAGTAATAGTTTTCAATTCTAATTAGAAATGTGTAATTTTCTAAATTTAATTTGTTTCACGAATGTATTTTTTCTAATTAGATTTTTTATTATGTTAATTTCAATTTAATTAATTTTAAGTTAATTTTATATTGTTAAAATATTAATAACCACCTTTCATTCTCAATAGAGAACTTTTCATTTTCAGAAATTTTGTTTTAAATTTTCTGTTCTTTTATATAAAAAAATTCCACTTTGGAAATGTGCTGGTACTCCTATTTCTATATCATTTTTAGCCGATTATTAGGTGTGTTTTGACATTTCACAAACTATGGGAACACAAATATTTAAATGTTTTTCCCTCTGGTAGTGTTTTCGTTTCTTGTTTTTTATTTTATTTTATGATGTTTTCCATCTGCTATGGGTAACAAGAGGAATTAAAAATGAAAGGTTCGGGCTCAACGCTAATTTCATTATTAGTTAAGTTAGATAATTTTGTTTCATATAGTTTGTGAAATGTCCTTTTTATTATCACTTCTTCCATTTTTGTTATTTTTAGACTTACGGAACTGTCTGTGTAGGTATTGGTTGTACCAATTATATTAACTAGTTTGCCAGTGCGAATAATCCGCACAGCATATTGGAAAGTGATCAAATGACAAAATAATTTGAAAATAAAATAATAAAACGCATCATTAAAATAAATATTCATTTTCTCGCTAATTACAATTGACAAAAGAAACAAAAATTAATTTAAAATTCATTAATATTGAAAAATGTCCATAAGGTGTACTGCTAATAATTGTTCGGTTTTCTCATTTTTTTTTTGGAATTTTTTCATGTGTGTACTTTTTGAGTTATTCCCAAATAAAGTTTCTTTTCCTTCACACCTTTTTTTAAATGAAATTTCGAGGAGATGTGACTAATTTTCCCACCTGAAGGAGAAAGAAAACTTCAAAATGATGGCTCGATCTTGCGGTTTGATGAAAAATTAACGAAGTTATGACGTACCGACAAAAAACACTTGTGATAAATGATATGGATTTATCCTCTCGATCATATGGACCTCATGTTGACAACATGAGACACGTATCCCATTGTTTCGAAGGAACTATCCGGGTCTTTTGCTATCAGCATCCAAATTTTCAAATCTCGATCAGTCCCGTATCGATCCAGCGACTCACCACCGTTCCAGTACTGGAGCCTAGCGAAATGTCTATCGCCTTTATTTATTTTAGAAAGAAAAGCAAAAGCGAAGAGTACGATTCGCTACTCCCTCCAGTCTGGTGAAATCCGAATCAAACGGTATCACATTCATGGCTTTTGAGCTTATACTTCATACAAGACTGATTTCGAGCCTTACTGTAATAATATATGTGTGGATAATTTTGTGATTATTTTTATAATTACTTATAAAATATGAAATTATAACACATTTTACCTTTTCGAGCCAATGATATATCCTCAGTATTCGGATAGAGTATTGCGAAATATATAAATTTAAAAATAAAGCTACTAGTACGCCCTATTTTAAAGAAGATGACTCAAGACCTATGTCTGTACGGAGGCTAGCTGAAATTTTGCTTCCGCCACATCATCGGAATGCCTATATTACTTATAATTTTATAAATAAATTGTTGATTAGTTAATCTTTAACTACTCATTTATTTTATAATGAATACATGATCCACGGATAGGAGTAGATGTTAATTTAGAGGTTATGAAGATATTTGAAAAACTTTTTAGTTTCTTTTGGTTATATTATCTCACCTTTG